GTCGCTCGGTGCAGCGTCGACGGACGACCCATGTAAGGGTAGTAGGAGCGATACTCTTCCCAGAAGGCCGGATCGTCCAGGGCAGCCTGGAAGCCGGCCTCCAGTTCATTGAGACACGTCGTCAGCGCCTCCGGGACGTATTGTCCACCAAACTTGCCGAAGCGGCCACGTTCCGAAGCCGGTCCAACTTCGTTTGCGGCTGGTGACTGTGTAGGCTCCTGCTCCTTCGAAGGAGAAACGGCGGCTGTGGACGAGATAAAGGATGGCTCGTCTGGTGCTGTGCGAGGGACTCGTCGCCCCGTGATCTGTGCGCAATACTCCTCGATTGTACGCGCTCCCTGTCCAGCAGGGGCATTGGCCAGCTGATTGATGATCTCGCTCCCAATCACGGCGCCATCAGCGACGGAGGTCACACCCAGGAAATGCTCACGAGTGCTGATGCCAAAGCCGACGGCCACCGGGACTCCACCGGAGAGATCCTTGACCCGCTTCATCAAGTCGGGAAGCTGATCATTTAGAGTACCAGTGGCTCCGGTGACGCCCATGCGGGATACCAGATAGATCCATGTGTCGGCAATCCCACAAAGCGTCTTCATCCGGTCTTGAGTTGTCGACGGAGCAATCAAGGGAACATATGAGAGACTAAACGATGACCACGAAAGGCGTTAGCGGTACTGAGTCCCATATCTAGCAACCGGAATGGTAGTAGGCAGAGCTTACCCGGCATCCCGACATTGGTCGCGGAATCGAACCGCTTCCTCCGGCGGTAGATCTACGATAATGAAACCATTCACGCCGGCTTCTCTGCATTCCGCAAGCAGGGCGGTTTCACCAAAGCGCAGAACCGGGTTATAGTATCCCATGAAGAGGACGGGGATGCGGAGGCCCTGCTGGCGGGAATCTTTCACCATTTGCAACATGGAAGTAATTGTAACTCCATTTTCGAGAGCTTTCAGGTTTGATTTTTGGATGGTAGGCCCATCGGCAATGGGGTCTGTGAATGGAAGGCCGAGTTCAATGACATCTGAAAAAGAAAAAAAGAAAAAAGGAAATGGACATTAGTACATCGCATCCATTGCTATGCGTACCAAGAGCAACTCACCTGCTCCTCCAGCTTGCATGGCCAGCATGATATCTGGAGTTTCCGCGGCTGTCGGAAAACCGGCAGTGACATAGGTCACCAGGGCCGGACGGCCCTCTTTTTGGCATTGAGCAAAGGTTCTTTTAAGATGCTCCATCTTGCTATGCCTGGAACGATTGAAGAATATGAAATAGTGTAACAAAGTCGGAAGGCGTAAGGGGAGAAGTGGCGTAGACTGGGGGCCTTTATGGGTCTTTCGCGGTGACTCACGCCCTCAGTAAGATGGCTGCACTAGTGGCAGGTCTGTCGGTTTAGTCCAATTTCAATCATCTGTGCATTCCAGGTTCTGTAGTCAACCGGTCCCTCAGTCAGAAATGAATATTGTCGCAGGGTGAGCCTTTCCTTCTTGCAATCGAGTGCATAATAACACAGCAGGTTCTCCAACAATTGACAAGCCCACGGCTCGTTCGTCCCATTGAACATCCCGAGATCGCCACCTTGCCTTAAAAAGCTGCGACAGGTTAAAGACCAAAACAGGCGTGTAATACTCGGTTGGAGGAGTTGTAAAAACTCAGAAGAGATAACGACCAGAGCAATCCATTATGCTCAGAGCTTCAGGTGAATGGGATATACAGATCGATTGGGACATGAAGCCACAGACGAATCGAAGCAGGGGAAAAGAAGTACAAACACAAACAATAAACACTTGGATCATTCAGCTTGGTCACGCCAATATAGAAAGTCGAGGAAGTCTATGTGAAAATGCATGGATTGCGAATTATGTGTGCTTTTGTCAAGCGCTTGCCTCCTTTATCTCCTTCCCTTCCAGCCCCACGGTGATATTCACCATCAAACAGTCATAGCCCTGCTTTCTTAGAATAACGACATAATATCTTCGTTGGTTTTCTTTGGTTGGCTGCCTCCAGGAGGCGGCGATGTCGTGCCATTGCCTGACAAATCCAGGCCGGCAAAACCGTTCATCAAATCCGCTCCAGCCCCTGCGCTGCTGCTGGCCGGGGCCGGCGCGCCTCCACCATCGCCGAAGACTCCCAAGAGATCGTCCAAGTTGTTGCTTCCAGCAGGAGCACCTGCAGCAGGCGATTCCACTCGCACTGGCGTTCCAGCCAGACCTTCAAGACCAGACATTCCACCACTGGGCTCTTTTTGAGCCGAAGCCGGCGCAGTTCCATCGAAATCGATGTCCAGTAGATTCTCGACGTTGCTCTGGCTCTGGGGAGGGGGCGCACTGCCAGTAACCGCGGCTGCAGCGGCAGCAGCAGCCAGTGGGTTCTCGCGTGCATTTTGGATTTGTTCCCTGAAGCCAGTGGTTAGCGCGACGTAGACATGAATGAATGAGTTAGGTTGAGACATACTCGATAGCGGCTCTCTGGACAGCGTCGGCGCCGAACCTTCCTTGGCCGACAAACTGCTCTGGGGGCTTGTGGTAAACTGAAGCAAGAGTCGACAGTTCAGTGAGCAGCTGCTCAAGAAGGGCAGGCGGTAGAGAATGAATAGTGGTCACAATTGGAGGCTTGTCAGACAGGACAATGTCCTTAGTAGCTCCAGGATCACTGGTATTGGATAACAAGCGCCAGTAGACATAGGCTCGGTCGCGCACATCGGGGTTGTCGTTCTCAGCAGTGGCTGCCTGCAGCACTTTCTGGACGAGACCTTGGGCTTTTTCAGGCCGCTTCAAGAAGAGCTTAACAACAGCCGTCAAGATTTGCAGCTGCGTCTAAACAGGTCGCTGTGATCAGTATACAGCATCTGTGTTGTCAAAAGGGAGTGTCATACCTGGGAAAATTCTTCATTGAAGCCTTCCACAAAACCAGCCAGAATGTCACCCGCATTGCTGATCTTCTCCGCATACTGACCCACAATCCAGATGAGTGCCGCACGAGCATTTGGCTCATCTAGCTCATCAATACATTTGCACAGCGTAGGGATGATACCCTCATAGCCGGGGTACTTCCGGAAAATATCCTTGATCACCACAATAGCTTCCTGCACCACGTAGTTGACCTTGGTGTTGATGAGGTCCAGCAACGTGTTGACGCACTTCTCACTAGCGCTCTCGATTTTGATCGCAACCTGACCAATCGCCCGGACGGCGCGGCGCACAAAGTCCATGTCCACCTCAAGTGCGTACTCCTTAAGCTCGGCTAAGAGCTGGTCAACGTTTCGGTCGTTGGCTATCCGTACCATGATTTCAAGTTTCTGGAACTTGACATATGGTGGGTCGTTATACTTGCAGAAAAAGACGCGGAGTTCCTTGTTCAGGATTTCTGGCTGCTTTTGCAACAAAAGGTCAATGTTTCTCAGAGCGACATACTGCACCTCGGGGGCAGACGAAACCAGAGTCACTTGAAATCATCAGCAAACGGGAACAATTATACGCGGTCAAAGCATCCTTACCTAGGGGAGGAGCCATTTTCTTCAGGTAGTTGCTAGCCAGCTCAGCCTTAACGTTTCTCATGTGAAGGAAAACGACTTTGACGGCAGCGAGCACAACACTCGGGTTGGCATGCTGGAACTGAGGAGCAACGCGCTCACAGATGTGCTCCGACTCAGTCACTTCAGTTGTTTTGTACTCCGCAAGAGTCGTCAAGATCGTCACGCGACCCCACTCAGTACACTCATTCAGGGCCATGAGAAGCTTGCGCAGTGTGTTGGTGGTTACCTTCAAGGCCTGTGTTTCGGGAGCAGCGTGGTAGATCTCCGACAAAGCAGTCACCGAGTTGGCGACGACCATAGGATTGGGATCTCCGATCATCTCCTGCAGCATCTCCAGAAAGCCGTTCTCCAGGCACAAAGCAGGATTCAGATCGAAAAGTTTGGCGACACAGATGGCCGCAGTCTTGCGGACATAGGGCGACTCGTCCCGGAGAGTCTTCCGCAGCGGTTCCTCCATGTAATCCACCATCTTGTCAACCCGGATGCACCCCATTGTTCGAATGGCAAGGGCCCTGATCAAAGGATTGGGATCTTCGGAGTCTTGAACAAAAGTGTTGACGGCGAGAATGCACAGGTCGGGGTGAGATTTGGCGTAGTTCCTGTCGGGCGCGCAAGACAGTCAGCGTCAAGCTCGAATAACCAAGCGATGCTAGGAGGCCCACATGAGGTAAAGATAAACCAGCTTCTTTTGTTCGAGATCGCTAGTCGCAATGTTCTTGAGAACATCCGGGAATAGAGAGGAGACATCCTTGCCTAGCGTCATGGCCATGATAGTCTTCTGAATTGACTCCTTGCTAATGGTGGATTAGATTTATTGCGCCGACCAGATTATGCTGCCATTTATCCATAAGCGGGTCGCATGTGACATACCGTTCATATGCATACTGGGACCTGAAGGATAACGAGTGTCAGTATCGAGTCATCAGCTTGGACAGGACAGATCGATAGCATACACAAGACCAGATCGCAATTCAAAAGTCTCTCCTTTCCTTGGGACCGCAAAGGCCCCTCGAATCCTACTCATCGCCATTGTGCCAAGAAAAGTCTAGCGACGACCGAGTCGCGCCTCTGCTGGTGGAAGCTGAAGTCGGAGGAGGGAATGCAGGAGACTGCGGGGAATTGCGAGAGCTTCAGGGTGAGCCGCAGACGGGAGAATTAGAGCGGGGAAGCAAGAGCTCACACACACTCTCTCACCTCCGTGCCGAAATGACGGGAGGAAACAGAAGTATAAGTGAAAAAATGTTCAGTGAAAGAAGAGAACGAAGAGAAATGTGGAGTGGGAAGAATGGAGGGAGGAGTGAAGAGGTCAAGGTGGAAGTGTGGCCGGCGGAACAGACAGTTAGTTGATGATCAGGAGGGAGAGGGAGGGACTGGACGGAGTGTCCCCATCATTAACCACAGCCAATCCGCACAACGCGGCGCCCGACTAAGCGCAACCATCACCTTAATTCTTTTCCCCGGCGGTCTGGACTGTCTCGTACTTCATACCCCATACACACTTGGTCTGATTCATAACAAAGGATATTTCAGCCTCTTTGCTGCCATATCCATTGCAGCACACGAAACCTATGGTAAGTTGCTATAACCTTTACATTTGTTACTATCAATGCGCGACTATGACAACATCGCTTACCTTTTACCGAACCAGGCGAATCTCCCTAATCTCCGACGCCTGTTCGTCGAGGCCAGGACCGAGGCCGAAGAGAACGAGCACTCCAGGACAGCGGTAAGCGTTCCTCGATTGCTCTCAAAGCCAATAGAAGATATCTGAATTTCAGCCTAACGGATCGTTATACAGTTTTACAACCTTGTCCTTTTTATCTCCTCGGTCGCTGTCTTCAGCTTGGTGGCTCAACGAATGGGCGGAACGAAGTCGGGAAAATGAACAATGAACGCAAAGGAAATGCCAGTGGTATCTCGTACAACTCATACTCCTGAACAAATTGATAATCCAGAGCCTGCCCCGGAAATATTTGCTTTGCACAAGCTAGCAACACTCATGCAACACCACATCAGTCCGTCTCTTCACCATCCTCACCTTCCAAGAAGGCCAGGCCTCGACGTCCCCGGTTCAATTTCCGTCTAGGCCGACTGTCCTCACTATCGTCGCTTCCAGCCTCCTTCCCCCATCGCTTGGCCCCTTCCTGCACTAGCTCGAGGTCGGCCTTGAGCTCACGCTCCTCACGGATGCGGTTCGCTTTATCCACCGAGTAACGCCCTTCCATGCCGGCCTCCTTCAACATATCCTTGAGGTGTTTGATCTTGGCTTTGGGGTTGTCGAAAGGAGCCAGCTCCCTCGCCCACATCTTGCGAATCCCGCATTTAATCAGCCAACCCTGCAGCCGTTTGATCTCCGCCTGATTCAGGTCCTGATCCGCATCTTTACCTTTGGCCGGAGCCGCTTTCTTTCCTTTTCGTGAGGATGTCTCGGCGCTCTTCTGTCGCTTGCGAACGGGTTTCGGCTCCTCATCAAGGACTACCGACATTTCACTCTCGGAATCGACTTTATCTTCTGACTGGTCTTCTTTGCCATTGGCGGAGGCAGTAGAGTCATCGGGGGCTGGCTCTACGCTGGGCTTGGCCTTTATCTTGTTGGTGGTCTTTGTTTGCCTTTTCGTGGAAGGCTTTACTTCATCCTCCTGGTTCTCATCCTCTATTTTCGAAATATCATCTTCATCGGTTTCCGAAGGACTGGTTTTCTGGCGTTTGCGCGGTGCGGCGGTGCGGGTCGATTTCGTTCTCTTGGCGGGCTTCGCGTCTTCCGAGGACAGTTCACTTTCAGAGTCGCTATCGTTCTTTTTTGGTGTTGACTGTTCGGCGGCTTTCTCTTCGACCTCCTATTCATGAAATGAGACATTAGAGCGCAATTGTAAACACAAACAGCCAGAAGGAAGTACAATGGCGTCATAATCCAAGAAACATGGAGAGACCAACCACTTGATCGCGAATGACCTCTTTACTTCGAGCTTTCCAATCGCCTTGTGTCTTAAAGAATCCTTCGTCGAGCTTGAGCGCTTTTTCTGTCGCAAGACGTACGCGCTTGACCGTCAATTCCTCTAACTTGCCCGATTTGTAGATTTCGGCGACGGTATCGCGTAAAGCTTGTTCCAGCGCGTCATCGGACGGAATGTCTGGACGGCCAGCCGCCAACTCGGACTCGGACTCAGACTCCGACAGCGCGTATTTTGGGGCCATTGTTGCGCTTTGTCTGTCTCGACTTTACCCCGAGTTAAATGCCCGACGTCGGGTGGGTGTAGATGTCCGCTGCGTGTTGGGGGGGTGGGGAAAGTAAAACAGCGGGAAGTGGCCGCGCGCCAGGCGGACGCGATGAGAGGCAGATTACAACCGCCCCAAGCAGATCAGAGAGCGAAACGATCGACAATTGCATCAGACGCAAACAAGCTTGATGAGAGGGAGACCGAACAATGTCAAAGAGGAACACTAGGAAAGCTTGCATCTAGAACCCCTGCCTACGGAGCTTGCTCAGTTGGCTTCGGTCGGAGAGTTTCCAATTGCACCGCGCGACAATGCGCTCGCTGACAAAGCCGCTTATCGGGGACTGGCGGCCTTTCGATAAAGTCGGAGATCGAGGGCACTATTACCAATCGACGAGAGAATCTTCAACTATACCTTACTTTCTTTTCTTTCTGTTTCTGTATAGACTCTTGTTCTTTGGTTTTGGTTTTTGTACACTCTCTATCTGATCGATTGCGCATCTTCTGTAACATAGCATCTTCTTTTTGTCTTGCAGTTCCTGCTCCCTCTCACTACCACCCAATCACCCCCACCGGCATCATGTCCGAAACCCACCCCGATGCAGCAGAGACCGCGCAATCGACGCAAAAGAAGCTCTTCACGCATCAGTTCCAGTTCCCTGCAGCCACAGCCAGCTCCTCCTCGTCGTCGTCATCTCAACCAAAGGATACCAACAACAAGGATGAACACGTCCCACCGGGATACACCAAGCTCCCGAATGGAGTCATCCTCGACAAAGAAGGCAAACCGTAAGTGCAGCCCCAACCAACAATCAAAAGCACAACCTACCCCCCTCCTACACCCCCAATCCCTCCACCTATACGTCCACACCTCCCACCCCTCCCCAAGCCAACCCAAATACTAACAACCCCCAAAAAAGATGCCGCCTCTGCACCTCCGCCGCCTCCTGGCGCGCCCTAACCCAAAAAGCCAAAGCCACACCCCCGCCAACTACCACAACCCCCACCACCACAGCCCCGAACCCCACCGCCCAAAAATACGGCCAATGTCCCCCCGACGTCGAGGAACTAGGCCGCTCGACCTGGACCTTCCTGCACTCGCTGACGGCCTCGTACCCGGCGCAGGCCTCGGCGGAGCAGCAGACGGAGATGCGCACGTTCCTGGGCATCTTCTCGCGGCTGTACCCGTGCTGGGTGTGCGCGGACGACTTCCGGGCCTGGATGGCCGAGCCCAGCGGGCAGAACGCGCCGCGGCTGGCGGGCCGCAAGGAGTTCGGGGACTGGATGTGCCGGGCGCATAACGAGGTCAACCGCAAACTGGGCAAGGATGAGTTCGATTGTCGGTTCTGGGAGGAGCGGTGGCGCTCGGGGTGGAAGGATGGGCGGTGTGATTGATACTTACTAAACCTCGGGGGGTGGAATGGAGATCCTGTGTTGGATGTGTATAAGTTATGGGATATGTGGGCATAGATGTGCTAGGGCTGTTTTATATGTATACTATTCTCTTTTTTGCATAGCATAGGGAGGCCTCGGTTCTCTACTCTTGTTTTATTAAGTAGATTTGGGAGGATTTCAAATGTGATTATCATCTCTCCTCATTCTTAACTTTTTTTTTCACCACGGTGAGGTACTATGGAACATCACCCAGATATGAACAAAAACAATTATGAAGATTTGAGTCCTAACGTCGCTGAGAAATTATGATAACAGAAGAGGTTCCATCCATACATCGAGGGCAAGCACCAAATCTGGGTCCCACCTCCGGCCGTACCAGTAGAAAAAGAAAAATGTTTTCTATCAGATCTGCACATCAAGAGACGGGGAATTACAGTATAAAAAAGAGCTCGTCATCGTCATCCTCAATACTGGCCGGGAACAAACAACCGGAGTCCGCTGGCCGGGGCCCCAATCTCCGTCACCTCCGAGATCCGACACACCGTGCCCTTGTATTGTTCATGATACTTGGCGCCCGTGAACGGGTCCGACACACTCGGGGAGCCACCGTAGATAGGCGTGTACGAAGCAGCGCAGATGTCGAATTCGGCGAATTGGTCGAACTCGATGTCGATCTTGTCTTGCGGGCTGCGCTCGCTCTGCAACTTGATCTTACGGGCCTGTTGGGGAAGTCAGTATACCTGGATCTGGCTAGAAGATGGGGACATGTCTTACCTGCTCAAGAAGCTTGGGCGAGCCACCGTTGGCCAGCATGCGGTTCGCGAAGCTGAGGGCAGAAGAATAGTTCTTGTTGGCGAAGGCAAACTTCATGGCTGCCATCAGTGCCAACTGACGGTGGGCTACTTCCAGCTTAGGGATGGTAAAGTAGGCCGAGAGCTCAAGACTTCTCTTGAGGCCCTCGGGCGTATCAGTAGAGAGAGAACGACGCTCCAACTCGATCGACATGGCCAGAATGTACTCCCGCGCGGTAGCGATGATCTTCTTCGCTTGCTCGACCTCAGCCTCGGAAGAGACGGTGTTCAGCAGGATTGAATGCAGGATGCCCTTAAAGATCTTGACACCATCTTCAAGTTTGTTGGCCCGCATCGCAGCGTAACCCTCTTGCAAGTCGACGTTGGCAATTGTCTCCAAATCCCTGGGGATGACAGGCAGAACCTTGCGGCTGTCCGTCTCTTCAACGGTGCGGCGCACGTAGTTCACCAACGGGGGAAGACCGGCGCTTGCGGGCAGATAAGTCTTGGAGCCCTTGTAGATTTCCAGGAATCGGGGTTTGAGAGGGGCGAAGTTGACGGCACCAACTTGACGATTGAGAAGTTGCATGGCTGTCTCGAAGGAGCCGGCAGCGACATGATCCGCTGCCAGAGGGGAGTTGCGAGCCCAAAGGTCGGCTTCCGAGCCACCAGCACCAGCCTCTGCACCTTCAACATCGACGAACTCAGCATCCTCTTCGACATTGATCTCGTCTCCCATGTCCCATCCGGCGACATCCTCCTCTTCGTCCTCGAAAGTATCACGCGCAGCAGCAACCTCGCCTTCCTCCTCAGGCTCAAACTCGATCGCAGCGACCTCATCATCGACCTCACCCACCTCTCCAAGCAGAGCCTTTTCGAATGATGAATGAGCAGCAGCCTTGACGGGCCAATTGGCCTTGAAGGTGGGAACAATGGGTTGAGGCACACGCAGGGGCTCCTCAATCGTGGAGAGAGTGATCTGATCCTCCGTGAGACCACAGGCTTCGAGAATCGACTCGGCCTCCTCTGTCAGCCCGTGGGACTTGGCAGTAAGGTACGCGAGCGGATCTGTACCAGATTAGAAACGAACACCAACTTAGACAGGGAACAGGACTTACAAAGATCCACTTCCTTGAACATCTGAATTCTGTCCTCGACGTCACCACGGTAGATAGCGTTCTGGAAGCGCGACGTGAAGTCGCCTCGGTGCTCAGCAATCTTGGCCATGCGGGACAGCTTCTCCTGGTCGCCAGTTGACAGGTACAAGAAGGACAACTTGTCGAAGTTTCTCTGCTTTTGGTAGGCCATCTCAACTGTCTGATGGTTACCGTGAGCCAGAGCTTCGGCCCCAAGTCTGGTCCACAGATTGGGGCGGTCCAACTCGCGAGCCATCTCAATAGCTACATCCAGGTTGCCGCACTCGAGGGCAAGCTCGAAGCGGGTCTGAGGGTCCTGCACAAATTGCAACGCGATCTCGGGGTAGCCCTTCTTCTGCAGGTAGGAAATGATGCTTTGGCCGACCAGACTAGAAGTCTTAATGATCTGCAACATCTCATCGTAGTTCCTCTTCACCAGTGCAAGCTTGAACCTGTACTCAGTAGGGTCAATGTCCAAGACGCGGGGCTTAGCGCTACGGTCCAAGCAGTAGACGCTTCTGCCCTTGACCTTAACAAGGTAGACAGTCTGGTCGAGAGTGCGAATGATGCCGTTGTCACTATTTCATATTAGCTATCCAATCGTGTCATCTTCAGGAACATAGAAATAGCATACCCGTTCAGGAGAGAATATTTGACATGGTTCAAGGTAGAGTAGAGAAGGACGCCAGCGTCATCCCAGGCTGCGCTCTTGATACGGATCGTCTCGTGCAAACTGCTCACCTGCTCCAAGGTCTTGGTCACAATAGTGACATTATGCTTGCTGAGCAGAGCGGCATAGAGCCCGTCGTTGGACCAGACAACATACTTGACGCCGCTGACAGCGAGCTCCGCCAATTGCTTCTTCTGCTGGATGTCGAAGAGAACGACCGAAGTAGGAGTGATAAAGAGGAGACAGCTAGTTCCACCGAAGTAAATGTCGGTGGTTCCGACTGGAGGCTTAATCGATTTTGTAGTCGCATTGCTGAGATCCTTGATGTCCACCTGTTGGTTGCCTTGGCTAAAGACGGCGAAGCGGTTGCGCGCAACGAAGACAGCAGACGTGCCTTGACCACGCTTGACATCGGTAGGCTCCACAGCACCGGTAGCATCCCTAGGGAGGTGAATCAATTCGTACACGCCACCATCAGTCGGGGACGTGACCAGGATGGCACGCTCGGCAGGGTTGTATGAGAGGGTACGAGGGGGCACCCAAGGGGATCCCAGTTTGCGCAGGGAGAGCATAGGAGGAGACTCCACGTTCTTGCCAAAATCATAGGACTTGACATGCTTCTCTTTGGTGATATAGAAGAGCTGGTTCTGGTAGACCGCTGAGGCAGGCCGCTCTCTCTCCAACTTGAAAACCATCACACCAGTATCATGACCGGCAGCAAACAGGTTGATCTCGGGATGGGCAGCAATGACCCAGAAACGATCCATGTCACGCTTGAACGATTGAACGGACGTTCTCTTATTCAAATCCCAGCATCTGATGGTCTTATCCTCGCCGACAGAGAGGATCAGGTCCTGGTGAGGATGGAACAAACAGGCGGAAGCGTTCTGGAAATGCCCACGGCAGGTGTCAACTTCCCAAGCTTTCGTGTCTATAGAACCCATGTCAGCTACTACTACCACCACTGGATCCCTATATTGTCATGTCCCACGTACCACTCATCCTCCAGAGCTTGATGAGACGGTCGTCACCGGCGGAGACGATCAAAGGAAGGGTAGGGTGGAAGGAGACCCAATTGACTCCACGATCGTGACCCTCTAGAACGAACTTCACCACGGCATCTGTGTTTCCGAACATATCTGCTTGACCGGGATTGGCTCGGGCCATCTGATCTTCGAACGAGATAGTCGTCGGGGCCGAGTGCTTCTTGCGCAAGCCGGAAATGTCCCAAATGCGAACCGATTGATCCAAGGAGGCAGAGGCGATCAGATCCTCGGTAGGGTGGAACTGTGCGCACATAACGTAGTGGTTGTGGCCGGTCATGGTACAGACTACAGGGTAAATGTCAGCCTCCCTCCGGACAGGTGGTCAGAATCCAACATACTTAGGGACCGGTTCTGCCAGTTCCAGATTCGAATGGTTTGATCGTCCGAGGCGGAGAGAATCCAGGGCAATTCATGATGAAAGAAAACCGTCCGCACGTAATCCAAGTGACCGTTCAAGGTGAACATGCACCGGCGAGTCTGGTAGTTCCAGACCTTGATCTTGTAGTCATCACCGCCGGATACAAACATGGGCTGTGTCGGGTGGAAGTCAATGCCACGAACGGGACCATCGTGTTCTTCAAAGCGATCAATCAGGGTTCCCATGCGGTAATCCCATAATTGAATGGTGGAGGAGTGAAGGGAGACTAGAATCCATGGCCTGTGCCGGGGGTCAGCGTTTGCGACGCGTTGTACAAACGACAGATGAGGACGAACCGCTTGGGATGGAAGGCAATTCCCTTAGCGCGGGAGGATTTGGACTCAAACTAGAGCATGAAGGCGTTGTCAGTTCCAGGTCTTGGAGTGAACAGAGACCAGCTCCGTTGCGATAAGGGGGGAGGGGAGGGGGCAATGGGGATGTGGAGGGGACGGCGGACCTTAGTGAGCATGTTTGGGGAGGACTGCATCTTGAAAGAGGGTTGGCCGGAGCCGCACCATAGAGAAGCAAGCTCCGCACACGAGAAAATAAGGGAAGATCAAAAGAATGACCACCACATCCACAACTTCGGGAGGAAGGGGAGGAGTGTAGTTGTGAGGGGGTTAGTTGGATAGCAATGGGGAGGAGTGTCTGGACTCTGGACTCCAGCCGTGGTCCGTCTGGATGGATGGATGGATGGCGGTAAACGTGGACTTATTGTGTCGGCAGCCAATAAGCGAGTCCCGAGGGCCAATGATGGGCCCCGGCGGTGAGCAGCTGCCAGGGGAAATGAATCGCCTTCAACTAACCAAGCCTGAGCTAGCATGCTGATGCTGATGCTGATGCTCATGCTCATGCTCATGCTCATGCTTGCACCTCGCTTGACACTAAATCGTATTGTTCTCTCTTTCTATGATTGATTCTGGATCAGAGCAAGCTTCAACAGAATGTGATATCATGGTCTTGCTGCTTTCTATCCGTTGTCGGAGCGGTGGGACCCTCATAATGCAACCCAACACAACATCTTCTCCAGCCCCATTACGCTTCTCTCCGACTGGATCTGTTTGAGCTCTGTCTGCCCTATCCTTCTTGCAACATTTTTTTTTCCATTTGCAAATCAACAGATCAAAGCACTGCAAGTGTAACGGCGATATTGTATACATAATGTCCATTCATACACATACCGATCTTCGAAACGCTTTCTAATGCAGCATTTACACTCTATGAAGACAGCACTTTTCATTACCTGACAATTTTTGGCAACACCGGCTAGAACACCATGATCAAAGCTGAGGATGGTTCAGTGCCTCCTCTCTCTCGGCTTCGGGATGACCCAACATGCTTCACTCAGGATATTCCCGGTCCCGCTTCGGCCTCCTGGCAACCTGCTGCGCACGAGTCCCCCTCAGTCAACAGCCACATCGAAGATCAAACGAATGTGATATTGCCATATGCGATCGAAGAACCCGAGGATGAGCCTGCCGACGCCTGGGAGGAGGCACGTGCGAGACCGAGGTCGGCGTTACTTCTCCATGAAAGTTCGGACCCCAAGCAAGATGATTTGGCGGACTCGATGGAGGGCCTTTGTTGCGATTCGGACCCTACAAGCCGCCGCTCAAGCTTCGCCGCTAAACGGGGCATGAAGCGAAAGCCGTCGAGTGCGCCAACCGCACCTAGCCATCCAACTCGATCACATTCGACCAGCAACTCTTCCAATAATCAAGAGGGAGGGTCCAACGGTCGTCCCAAAAGACAGCGTAGGCGAAGCCAGCGTTCAAAGAACCATATGGGGCTATTCTCCGATGTGTTATGGCACGGGGAGGCCAGTGAAACCGGGTCATCGGGCAGTTACGACTCTCGATCCTCTTCCGCGGATCCTAGTAGTTCCCACCCCTATGCGTCCGCCGCGCTAGATCAAATGGACATCGACTGAGTGAGCGTTACATGAGCTCCTGGCTTCCCACGAGCTTCATAGCTTGTTGCTGGCTCTGGCGGCCCGCAACATGTGACACGTGACGTAGTGCGGCTACGCTTGGCCGGAAAGGGCTGGACTATTCGATGACGTCACCAACTTCTCATCGCCGTCACTTATACTGCTCTCTTTGTCGGCTTACGGCTAACAGATTACCTCTCACCGTCATCTATCGTTATCCTATCGCTTTCATCTCCCATTGAACACCAATTTCCTTCTTCAATTGGCCCACGAATTTGCTTGACAAGCTCCTGCGCGCATAGTAATCATGGCAACCCGAACATCGACTCGCCAGGCCGCCCAGAAGGCAAAGGAAGCCATTGCGGCAGCTCCTGATGTTAAAAGCCGAGGCACTGCGGGCGCAAAGCGTAAGGGCAGTGCTGACAAGGGATTGGAGTCTAAGCGTAGCAAAAAAGAGGCCGACAAAGAGCTGGACGAAGCCCAGCAGCCCGCGACCGGAATTGATGCGCAACCACCTAAAGGTAGAGTAAGCCCGCATAACCACCTCAGATATCTTCTGACTATGTGTAGCTCGCTCTGAGCAGGTCAGCAAGCCCGAAGCGAAGCCTGAAGAGCCTAAGGATAAGCCTGCGGCAAAGCAAGAGGGAGAGCCACCGGAGAAACCTGGTGAGAACCCGGAGGACAAGTCAGAGGACAAGCCAGAGGACAAGCCAGAGGATAAGCCAGAGGATAAGCCAGAGGATAAGCCAGAGGATAAGCCAGAGGATAAGCCAGAGGGCAAGCCAGGCGCAAAGCCAGAGGGCAAGCCAGAGACGGAGTCAGAAACAAAGACAGAAGAAAAAGCAGAAGAACAGCCAGACAAAGTGAAAGAAGACAAGGCTGACGATAAGCTTGAAGACAAAATGGAGCTGGATGATGAGGAGAAAACCGATGACATTCAGACAGAAAGCAAGGAGACCAAGACGGGCCCCGCCAAGGGCAACGAAGCTGGCATCGAAACCTCACAAGAAAGAGAGGAAAAGGTCCCGTCAAACATTCTAGAAAAGGGTATCATTTACTTCTTCTACCGGTCCCGAGTCAATGTGGCTGACCCTCAGGGTGTCGATGACGTTGCGCGCACTTTTGTGGTGCTACGACCAACTCCCTTGGGAGCTACTTTGGACGCAAAGCAGGGCCCCGTTGACACTGGTGCTAAATGTCGCTTGATGGCTCTTCCAAAGAAAAGATTCCCGACTTCTGGTCGTGATCGAGTTATGGGATTCGTCGAGAAGGCTGGGCAATCCATGAAAGCACTGCAGGAAAGCTTCATTACTGGACAGCAGTATGACACAGCCACTCAAGGCGAGCGTACCGTTCCTGATGCCCGTCCGTATGCGGAAGGCGTCTACGCAATCACATCTACCAAACGAACCTCTCACCTGGCTTACGTTCTCACAATTCCTGATCAGATTGGATCTCTTCAGGAAGACTTTGGCCTTCGGGCACGGGGAAGCTGGGTTGTGCAGTCCAAGAATCCAAAACACCCTGGGCCATCGTATGCTCAACTTCCTAAAGACCCCGAATATCCCGACAGGTACAACCCCCGCCCTGATTATGGCTTTCCTTGTCCCGACCCACCTGCATTTGCTGACTGACGGCGGAAGTGTGCTTGCTAAATTCGGCGACTACCGCTGGAGGCCGCTGGAGCCCGAATTTATCGATTATCCCAACGCGCAGTTCCTTGTGGTTGGGGAGGCTGTGGATGAGCTTGGAAAGGCTGCAACTGCAGAGGAAGATGGCAAGAAAGCCGATGAGGTGCAGCCTGGAGAAGAGCTCGAGCACCTAGAGCAGGAAAACCAAGAGCGGGTGGAATCTCTGCGGGGTGAGTGTTCCCTCATGATCTTTTAGATTGTCTGACTTGAGGCATGCAGCTAACATCAATTAGGAGATGACACGATCTATGAGGATCTTGGCCTCGATGCGAAGAATTATCCTGCCGTTCCGACGACTTGGGGATAGTCAGTAATGAGCTCGGGTGACTGCGATGACAAAAGGTTATTCTGTAGGATATGGCAGGCCAACAAGGACGCGGCATGATAGAAGCAGATGATGATGACAACGACGATGATGAGATGAAGTCAGTGTGAAGATCACCGCTGCAGTCAACTAAAAATAATGTGAATGCAAGGCAATTACTTGTTTCCTTGGCTATGGCCTACTGGGTAATGGTTTTCCATCCACAACGAATTGCAAGCATGGATGCGCCCACGTTGTCTTCCTTCTGTTGGATCCTTCCTTAATCCTTGCTAGTCACAAGTAGTTCTCCGGTCCTCGGAGCCAACTCTATCCGCCAGCTAAAGTGCTTTATGGATAAGAATAAGTCCTGCTACTTACCCGGCTCTTTTTCTAGGTCTCCAATCGATTTCAATTTCCTCATTACACTTACAATCTGAAAGCCACCCTCCATGCGACGCGACTCTTCGTGGTTGTACACTCTCCCGGTTCTATACTGGACTGCTGCTGCTGCCAGCAATGACGTTGTGAACCGGACCAGCTGCGGCAGTCATACTTACACCTACTCCGGCCTGGCTGGATATGGCTTCATTCCTTCCAACGCCACAGACAAGTATGGCGACACTTTAGGGGGCTTCGGCAGCTCGGCCGCCTTTGATTTGAACTCCTGGCGGCGCATTGGACCTGAAACCTATACCGGACTGCTTTACTGCCTCCCCGATCGTGGCTGGTATGACTGTCTCCTGGATTGTTATATTGTTCTCCTACGGCCTCGTGTGCTGAGAATGAATGCAGGAATACGAACGGCACTCTCAACTACCAAGCCCGCGTCCATACACTCAACGTCACCCTACAACTGACCAGCAACAACAACTCCGCCAATCGTCCATCCCCACCCAACCTGCAGCTGACTTACCTCGACTCGCTACTGCTAACAGATCCCACCGGCAAACCACTAACCGGCCTCGACGCCTCTGCCGACTTCAACGACACCCTCCAGTATCGCGGGTTCCCACCCCTTCCTGCAGCGATCTACACCGGCAATGGCTTCGACGACGACCCCAACAGCGGCCACGGTGGCCACCGGGTCTCCCTGGACGCTGAAGGCCTCGCACTCACCCACGACAGCTTCTGGATCTCCGACGAATACGGGCCCTACGTCTACCGTTTCGACCGCCAAACCGGCCGGATGGTCACAGCCATCGAGCCCCCACCAGCCTACATCCCGCACCGCAACCAGACCATCAGCTTCAGCGCCGACAGTCCCCCCATCTACGACCCGAACGACGCCCCCATCCCCGAAGACCCCGTGACAGGCCGCGCGAACAACCAAGGCTTCGAGGCCTTGACCATCTCCCCGGACGGGAAGACCCTCTACACGATGATCCAGTCCGCTTTAGATCAAGAAGGCGGCACCAGTAAGAAGTACCGTCGTCCCGCCCGTCTCCTGCAGTACGACATCTCCTCGGGAACTCCGGTAACCGAGCACGAGTATGTGGTCATGTTACCCACGTACTACGATTACACCAAAGGCCACGACGTGGTGGCCGCGCAGTCGGAGATACACTTGCTGCCGACCGCCGCCGGGGATCACGACAAGGCATTCTTAGTCCTGGCGCGCGACTCCGGGTTCGGTCACGGCCAGGACGAGTCGTTGTCGGTGTACCGGCATGCGGATGTCGTGCGCATTACGAGCAACACCACCGATCTCAGACGGTGGCCGGGGGCGGATGCGGATGCGGTCAATGGGTCCATCGCCTCGGCCACGGGGGTCTTGGACACCGGGATCACCCCGGCGGAGTACTGTCCCTTCTTAGACTATAACGTCGAGAGCCAGCTGGCCAAGTTTGGGTTGCATAACGGTGGCCCGCAGGATCGTTTCCTGTTGAATGAAAAGTGGGAGAGCCTGGCACTGGTGCCCGTGGAGCCGGGGCAGAAGGCGTCCGCCCGCGAAAGGGAGTACTTTCTGTTTAGTTTGAGTGACAATGACTTCATTACACAGGATGGTAAGTAGAGTCTTGTTTTCATCAAGCTGGACGAGTCGATGGCTAATGAGTTTAACTAGGCCGCATGAACTTCGGTCTGTTCAAGTATGCTGATGAGTCGGGATATAACCTTGACAATCAGGCACTGGTATTCCGGGTGAAGATCTCATCATAGGACATTTACCTGACTGAGATAGTCAATCACGCACTCTTCTTTTCTTGCAAATCGATGGCTCCTATGTCTGACATCATCCAGTGAGCCTTTCTTCAAGGATGATACTTTGGCTCTCAAGGCGGAGTCATTGTATCTAGATGGTCAGATTATGAAATGATCACAGCTTCATCCTGATTTATTATTCATCGTGTGCATTAGGAAACTTTTGAGCTCTTTCCCCTGATTCTGGTAGATCATTGCACACGAATACTTCATCCATGAAAGTACACAGTATAGAAAATACTGTCGACTTCGTCCTGCCACCATCTACCCGCCATCCCCCTCAACCCACTTATATATCCGCGCAAATCGGAACAACTGCTTGTTCAACAGAACACCTGCCTCTCGAACCCAACATTATCAAAGCCCCAAATATACCCAGTTACAATCATGAACGTGCGTTACACGAAACACTTATTCTCAAACGCCCCAAGCCTACAGTAGCATACAAAGAACCCCCTCTCCTCCCGAAAATGTATACATCAAAAGCCACCGCGTCAACCCATCACCAAGCCCGCAAACACACATCCCAAAATCACATAGATGAATCAAGAGTAACCCTCACACTGAAATTGCGTCATAGCCTTCTCTCCCCCCTCTCCCCCCAGAGAGTTCCACTTCTAGTCCTACCCATCACAACCGCCGTATCCCCCCTTCAACTTGTCAACCATCCACCCCCGTTCCTCGAACCAAACACCCACCACCTCTTCCCGGGCCCAGAGTTCCACAGCCAGCCACAGCCACAGCCACTATCCTCGTCCATCCAACCAGAGAGGAGCCTGAGTGTTTTTTTGGACATAACACATGGCTCGGGATTTCGAGTTGTCGGTCGATGATCTTTCGGATGAGTCGAGCTTTTATGGTGGGTATATATTCCATATTTCCTTGGTTACCACGTAAACCTGTTCGGTGTTGATGGATTACTTTTACCCGACGTGTGGTCCGAAAGGGAAGGACTGTCCTGAAACTGACAACGGGGATAGGCGATGACGACGACGACGAGGTCAAGGACCTAGAACACCTCGTTACAAGCTACGACACCGGCTATTACTGGACCAGGATCCATCCGTACTCTCTGAACACCATCCGTCAGAAAGCGTTGCGCGCGAGGCACACGGAAAAAGCAGAAGAAAGAGAAGCCAGCGAGAATGCTGCCGCGATGAACCCCGGTACTATTATTAAGAAGGAAGACGGGGATGATGGCGCTGCGCCGCCTAGGTGTTACAGCTTTCCACCACCGGATTCTCCAACTCGCACGACCGAAACAAAGAATGAAGAGGCGGACGGCGACACGGTCATGACGGATGTCTCATCCCCGGAGTGCAGCCGCGTGAGACGCACAGCGACGCGCGTAGTAGCTACGGGGCTGACGCCATCCAGTACGCCCGCTGATGCGGTCGGGCCGTGGATCTATGTCGCAGCACCTCAGCCTAGAAGGGGCCCGCAGCAGGCGGAGCTCGCGAGACTCGTAGCGGAGGGGACAAGGGCGTTGCATCGGTTCGAGAATGACAGGGTGACGTTGCAGGTGCAGCGGGACAGGGCCCCGACGGGTGCGAAGCAGGCGGCAACGCGGGCGTTGCTCCGTCGGCGGCAGGAGCTGGAGAGCGAGCTGTTCGTGCTGGCGAGGCAGACGGGCGTCGTGTCCGGGAAGTGGATGCTGTTTATCACGGCGGATCAGGTGGACGAGTATTGGACTCTGGTGACCGAGGCGACCGTGCGCGGAGAGCTGGGATTCGGGGCCAAGGTCGCAACGGATGATGGGCAGGGGAGGGCGCGACTGATCGCAATCTATACCCACGATCATGAGGACCACGAGGATGTGGCCCGGGTGCTGAGGAGAATGGTGGAGTTGAAGCTTGTCAAGGTCAAGGAAAAGCCCATATACTATAAGTGTGATGCGTTCACCCATCTGGAGATCATGGGGAACAATCCTTGGGGATTGAAGGCGAGTCGGTTTTCGAGTCGAGACGTGTTGCGGGGTGAGTCGTGAGCTGCTGTTGGGATGCTGGATGTTTGGATTGTGGATTCAAGAATGTGAAAATATCGGCCATTTTCAGCGTATTCGCCATGATTTGAGGCTCAAGACGGACCTAGCAGGCTCAGTATACCGATGCCGTAGCTTTGTATGAGCAACTGATTGACGATGGCGATAGGCAAGTCAGCGTCCAAGTAGCTGACATCCTCCGCCGCCATTCCAAGCCTGAATGGCAACACTCTATTCCGACCCCAACAAGCCCCAAGATGTCGAAGCACAGTAGAGTCGATCTCTTATGACCCGTTCTCTCCGGCGCATCACCTCAAGACGACTCGTCCCCTCGGTCCATGACCTTCTCACAAGCCTCCCGGACCTCCGCAACCCCCTTGACCCCCTCCCACTTCACCAGCAACTTCCTCACCTCCTCCCAATCCCTCTCCGCCTCCTCCACCTTCCCCTCAGCAACCAGCTTCTCCAACCTGTCCGGCGCGCCTAGCACCCACTGCACCGTCCGCCTCTCGACCTTCCTCCGCTCCGACCCCAGCGTCGTCTTCGCCTCCCGAATCCGGCGCTGCTGCTCCTCGCCCTCCTGAATCAGACTGCCCGCCGTCTCCGCCACGAACGCAATCGCCGGCCCCAGAGTCTTGGTCATGGTCAACGGCGCCCCGCGCTCATCCATGCTGCGCCGCATCTTGCCGATGGTCTCGACCGCGCGGATCAGCTTGGAGTAATTGTCGTACACCAGCGCCTTCCGCTCGCTGTCCAGCGTGCGGATGTCCCCGACGAGCGTGTTCTCGGCCTTTAGGACTGTGGACAGCGACGAGGTGGCCAGAAGGTGGTTGACGTAGCGCTGGGGGTCGAAGTCCGGGCTGTCGAGTTCCGTCCCCGTGGCCACGACGGATGATGGGTGGTTGTTGTTGTTGTTGTTTGGGGCGGGGTCCTCGCTCGGGCGGGGGATGCTGCGGGATCGGCGCCCGGCGTCGGCGGTGGCAGCATCGGTTGGGCGGAGGTTGTAGTAGTCGCGGAGGGCGGCGCGGTTGCGACGCGGGTGGAGAGACGGGGAGACTGCCCGGGCAGTGGAGGGGGTGGAGGAAGCGCTGAGTCCCCCACCGCTGTAGCCGAGATTGGTGTTCAAGGTGTCCAGGGAGGGGCGGTGGGAGGAGGTCGGGGTGGGAGAGTGGGCGCGGGATGAAGCAATTGACGGACGGGGGGAGGAGAGCGTCGACATGGTGGGTAGTGGTTGTGATAGTGGTGTGGAGGTGTGGAGGTGCGCTGTCCTGTTTGTTGCTACCTATGTGAGCGATAGAAAGACAATAGGAGAGTGTAAGACACGTATGAGGATATTAGAGAAAGGTGTAACTCAAGTCGATGAATGGAAGTTGATTGTTGATGAGGTGTGTAAGTTAAGGAGGAGGCTGGAAGTTTAGGGGACGTTCTTCCCCACCCCGGATTCCGCTCCAACTCAAATAATTTCTCCAAATTTCCCGCTCCTTCCCCTCACCCCACTGCTTGAACAACAATCACAACCTCAAAAAAAAAAAAAAAACCATGCCATCAACCTCTCCCACCTAAAAGCCTCTTCCTTCCAACCCCATCCCAGCTCCCTCTATTTTTACTCTAAACACCCATCTTTTCCCAAGAACCGGGAGCCATGACCAGCCCCCAATCCCAAATCGCAGCCCAACTGCACTCCACCAAAGCCCTCCCCGTCTCCCCAACCTGGCTCAACAGCTTCGTCTCCTCCACAACCGCCCTGCAACGCAACGTGCCCATCTCGGCCCTAACCCAAACCGCGCTCTTCCGCATCCTGGCCTCGGACTTCCGCGACTCCCTCCACACCAACAACCCCTCCGCCCTCCTCCCCGCCGACATCTCCGCCCCCACCGTGCAGGAGCGCCGGCTCCCGGGCCCCGTCCCCGTCCAGGTCCTGGACATCGAGGACATCGGCACGAGTCTGTGGAGCCAGGTGGAGGCGATCGAGCGCGTCGAGCGCGGGGAAGCGATCCGCGGGCGGGAGATTGTACGGGCTGTTAATGTTGGTGGCGGGGAAGAGGATGAGGAAGGAGGCGGAAATGCTGGCCCTGCGGCGTCTGAGAACGAAAGTCATGGACCGCATCGGTTGATCGTACAGGACGCGGTGGGGACGAGAGCTGTGGCGGTTGAATTGAAGCGCGTGCAGGGGATATCCGTGGCGAAGCTGGCGATCGGAGCGAAGTTGGTCATCCGGAATGCGACGGTGGCGCGCGGGATGATCTTGCTTGCGCCGGACTGCATGTCGCTATTGGGAGGGAAGATTGAGAGTATGGATCAAGCGTGGAAAGAGGGGAGGAAGGCTAGGTTGTTGGCTAGGATTACGGAGATGCAAGGTGGGGATCAGTCAGGTTAATGCCGCTGGCGGAGAGGAATATTTGCATTTGTGGTATGTCCTTTTTCTCCCCCTCTTCTCCTTTCGTGATTCGTTTCTATCTAATAGCTCTTTCACTAGATCTATCTCACATTTGGAGAGTGGTGCAAAGGTAGCGACTACTCGATCGTCGATACTGCATGATTCAGTTCTTCCCAACCCGATTGCTGCCATGGTGCCACCATAATTGCCCTCATTGCGTCGCTCGCCTTCCCGGTCTGTGCGTATGCAGCAGCAAGATCAACGGCTTCCAGGTTGCTGCGGGGAGGGACGCTTCTCAAGGCTCTCTTGACGGCCATCTCAGCTGGATACAGCTCCTGCGTAGCCGACGACAATTCCACCCAGCCTTGCGGTTCGGCAGGCGATCTCATCACTGCTGCAGTGGCTTCTCCGATCCGTCTGGTCTCCTCAGGAACATCCGAGTTATCTCCGTATCCCAGGGTCGACACCGCAGTGAGAAGCTTGATTAGCTTGCCGCGCTCATGGATTTCTATGTCATCGCGAGTGATCATGTTGCGGAGGTCAGATTCAACTGCCTCCACCGCGTCTCTATCCTCATCTAGTAGCGCAATGGCCCCGAGGAGGGTGACGGCGCCGATGTGGTCAGGATACTCTTCAACACAGTCGAACAGCTGCTGGCGAGCAACGGCTCTTTCCTCCTCCCCGCCCTTGGCCCACAGCACCTGTGCCAAGAGGCACACCACCTCTGGAGCATTATCCGCCTCCCCAAGCGCATCACGGAACATGTCAATAGCGTTGTCCATGGACTTCAGGTAGTAGTGTGCAAGCCCAGCGGTCAAGTGCGCTGACAGGCGCAGCTTCTTGTTTGTCTCAGGATCGAACTTCTCTGCGTCCTCTTCACCAGAGAGCATAAGTGCTGTTTCCGCCTTCTCGGCGGCTTCCTCGTACTCATGACGGGCAAGAAGCACACGGGCAATGTCTGCGTTGGCCTGCGCATATCGAGAGAGGGATGCGGCTGACTCGGAAACTTCGTATTCGGCCTCCACTCCCGCACAGACAGTTCGCAAGCTCGTTTCGGCATCCGAAAACTCACCGATTCTTTCCGCTAGAAAGGAAGAGAGATGGACGAATGGCAGGTCAGAAGGCTCCTGGCTGGAAAGCTGGTGAAGGGCGAAGAAGGGCTGGATGAGTTGCGAGATTTCGTTAGAGATGGAAGAATCGGACATGAGGTGGTCGAACAAGGTCATTGTGTATTGTTTCTTGGGCAACCGTGACGATGAATTGGAAATGTCGAAGGCGTGCTCAAACAAGCCTCTTGCTTCCCGCTGATCACCGAACAAAAGAGCAAGCAAGCCTTGGCCAACCCAAGCCGGGGCATAGTCTGGATCGGTAGACTGCGCCCGGGTAAAGGCCTCGTTTGCCAGCTGAATATCATTGTGAAGGAGATATAAAGTTCCGAGATTCGTCCAAGTTTGCGCACTGCGATCGTTGAGATGCAGACTTCGCACGAATGAATGCTGGGCAACCTTAGGACTCATGCTTGTAGTCGCGACACCAAGTGCATTCCAGAATTCAGAGTTGCCGGCTTCCAGTTCGATGGCTCGCTTGAAGCAACGCATCGCCGTCTTGACAAATTTGCGAGTCTGCTTCTTATTTTCGGACGGCGAGCTTAGCTGCAGGCTTCTGTAAGCTCTGTATTCGGCCCAGCCGAGGTTATACCAGGCAACGGCCTGAGCATGGGTATCCCGGAGTGAGACCTGGATGGCACGTTTGTAGGCTAGGATGGCGGCATAGAGACATTTGTTCGATGGGCTAGTGGTATCGTCCTCAGATGTTAGTGAAACGAGAATCTCCGCGCCCACTTCGTCCACGTCAGTCATGATGTCCAAGGCCGACGGCTCCAGTTGGGTTGTAAGCAGGCTCTGCAATTCATCAATCGGCAGCCTATCTGCCTTGGACTTCACATAAGAGAATAGGCTGCATGCGTCTCCGATGCCCTTCCAGAGATTGAATACATCGACTCTTTCCATGGCCAGTGACTGTGCTGTCGTAATCGCTCGCCGTGCAAGTTCAATGCAGTCATTGTACCGTCCCAGTTCCAGACTCTTCCAAGAGCTTTCGGTAAGCGTCTGAAGCAAGGCGATCAAGACGCCAATCTCGGTGGGCCTGACTTTCAGCACGTTCTCGTACCTCGCGATTGCATCGTCATAATCGGCAAGCTCCCGCTTGACATTCGCAAGCATGTATCTCGCAAACCAGATTTGTTCCTTGTCAGTGCTCGAAAGCGTCTCCTCCAACGCTTGTGCGTGCTCGAAAGCTTTGGTCGCGGCAATATACCTTCCGGAGTGGTGGTAACTCTCGCCCAAACCGACCCATGAATGGTAATCATCGGGCTTTATTCGCAGCGCTGCTTGGAACGATACAATGCTCTTCGGGTATTGCTGTTTGTTGATCTGGACAGTACCCAAAGCTGCGTATGGCCAACTGTAGCCCTTGCGCTTAGAGCCTGGAGCTGGCTTGGCTTTGCCAGAATCCACCACGCGCTGGGCTACGGCTTCGACGAGGTCCCAGTCCCGCTGGTTAGCGAATGTGCGTGCCAACCTCTCTGCAGCTTCGATCTCAGACGGGGACAGTTCAAAGGCCTTGTGGAAACATCTTTTGGCTCGCGTCTTGTCTTTCTTGTAGTCTGCATAGTACAATCCAAGGCTGGTATAGGCGGGCGCGAAATTCATGTTGGTTTGGATCGAAGCAAGGAAACTAGCGTAGGCACCGTTGCGGTCCTTGCGTGCAGCTGGTGATGGATCGATTTCCCACTGACAGTAGCCTACCCTGTAGAGAATTTCAGCCTTGAACTCCCTATTTTCCGATTGTGCCTCGCGAAGGTCTGAGAGCACCTCCTGAAGACCCTCAAGACCAGATTCGAGGTCGCCGTTGAGCGCCCGACACCAGGACAGCTCCCCTCGAACCTTGATGTTCGATGGATCCCGCGCCAGCGCACGCTCCAGAAAGTTCACAGCTTCTGGATAGTCCTCATCAACCTCAAGGATAAGCCCGATTCCAAGCAGACAGCTCGTTGAAGTTGGCTTCCGCTTCAAAATCTCTTCAAAGATACCCTTCGCCTCAGGGTGGTAGCGAGGGGCTTGGTGGTAGATGAGTGAATTTGCAAGTATGATGTTAATTGCATCGGTGCTGTTTGTGAGATTGAGCCCCGTCCGCCTGACCACGTCGTGAACATTCCGAAGACCTTTACGACAGATGTCCGCAGCACTCTCGTACTCTTCAAGTGTCAGATAGAGCTCTCCTACAATCCGATGTGCGACGATCGAGGTTGACGAAGTTTCAAGACCTTCCACCATGAGGAGAAGATGATCCTGAGCAGCCAACTCATTCGCCTCGCCATTGTTCTCGTCGGATTCAGGTTCCTCCGCTTTGGAGTCTCTCCTTTGCTTAGGTTCTTCTGGCTCCTTCGTCTCTTTGGGGAAAGGAGAGATATCACTAGCAAGGAATCCCTTAAGGACCTTGGAAAGGCCGTCTTCGGGAAAGAACTCAATGAAGTCATCGAGGAAGTTGCGATCCCATTCGTGGAAATCTTGGACGTCATGCCACTCCAGCACGATCTTCCAGGCCAGTTCGAAAGGATGTTTTATGATGACCATGTCACGAGCAGCCTGTAATACTTCAACTCGCTTGGCATCCTTCTCATTTGCTGGAAGAACTGTGAGGAAGTCGTAGGCGCGCTGCAAAGACTTCTCCTCGTAGGTGCGTCGAACCTGGTCGTCATGAGACCAGTCCACGATCCCACGGTAGAGCTGCTCTAGCTCGCTGCGCTTGAAAGCTTCCCTCTTAACCTCCAGTGTGACTTGGTCGATCTTTGCGCCGAGACGAGTGCGTCTTTCACCAATCTCCCGATTTATGAATTCCTTCTCCTCCGACTCCGTTATCTCAATCAGACGGAGGTAGGTATGGGAAGGATGTGGGATCCTGCCTTGGAGATATTCGTAAAGCGGCGATGATGGGAGGTGCAACTCAAGAGCTTTCTTGTGTTGCGATCGAGAACCATTCTTCTTCGCGAAGCTGACATACTTATCCAGGAGATCCTGACAACGATGCTTGTCATCGCTAAGATCAGTCAGCAGCTAGCCCAATATTCAAATAAGCGTAGCGCAGATTTCAACACTTACACTTCAGCAAACAGTAAGCCAAGTTTGACAACCGCCTCACGGTATTGATCCAGCTTATGCGCGCCTTGTTTCTCATACAGGTTGATAAGGCCCTGCCAAGCTGTTTTGTCGCTGTCCTTCACACGAATAGCTGAAAGATAGGCCGCCTCGGCTTCCCCGTTCTTGTTGAGCTTGTCGAGCGCGAGACCCAGAAAGACATTACTAGCGGGCAATTGAGATTAGGAACGCGCAATTCGCCGGAATGAGAGGGGCGGGAATTTCGGGGGTGAGGGGATGAAGTGATACGCACGCATGGTAAATTTGAGGGTCTTTCTTGACAATTTCCTTGGCCTTCTCGGCTGCAAGCTCGAAGTCCTTCGAGTCCAGCGCCGTGCGCACTGCCTTGAGAGCCGCTTTGCTTGCCATCTTAAGGCAATCGCTGCATGGCCTGGCCGGATTCTCAGGTAAACTTTGTGCTTGGTTGAGGGGAATGCTGGCTGGCGGATTTGGAGCAAGTTACTCGTAATTGAGAAAAGGCCGGGCGGGCTGTGTGGGGAAACCCAAGTGGGAAAAGGTAAAGGTACGTCAGAGGTTCCGCCGGATCGCTCGTTATCGCTCTCGGAGCTTGAGTAGTAACTCAATAGTCTAGTTGATGTACAGACGTTGTTCTTCGCTGTTGCCTGTTGACACATGTGAGCTAGCTAGCCTATAGAAGAAAAAGATACCAATACGAACCTGAAGCTTGTTTGTTTGACTGACATTCAAATAACTTCTTTAATTCACTTTGAAGACCCCCTCACCTCCCTCTCCCCTGGACGCCAAGTCTGTTACCGTTGGCTGTGTGACTGGCGTCGTCGCCATCAACCAGCTGTTCCTGCAAGGTTAGCGCAGATACGATCGACACCTCACTTGGTCCAGTCAATTAGTACTGACTGATGTTTGCCTTTCAGTGATTTAACCCTTTGAAGTGCTGCTGGGTAGGATAAGGCATCTCACCATCCTAGATCACACAGTCTTGACGTTCTCTCTTTCAGCATTGTTCTGCCCTGTCCGCACATCCGCGAGCACCCGTTCGTCTACTTCCACCGTTTGCTGTGTTATCGTACGTTGAAACTGAGAGAAAATGGGCCATTATCGACTTCGAATAGACGGTCAAACATTCAAAGATGCGAACAATCGGGAAATAACCTTGAGAGGGATCAACGTCGCCGGCGAGTCGAAATACCCCAAGAATCCGGACACTCCTTCATATGTCTCCGATAGCTTCTTCGATGCGGACAACGTCTCCTTTGTTGGTCGACCCTTTTCTCTTGACGATGCACACACCCATTTTGCCAGACTACGCACATGGGGCTACAATACCATAAGATATATTTTCACATGGGAGGCGATTGAGCATGAAGGGCCAGGGAAATATGACGATGAATGGATCGCATTCACCATCGAAGTCCTTCGTATTGCGAAGCAGTACAAGTTCTTCGTCTTCCTCGATCCGCACCAGGATGTGGTAGGTTTCCGTGACTCGCCAGACTACCATCAACGTCCCAGCTAATAATGTGAAGTGGTCCAGACTATCAGGGGGATCTGGTGCTCCCGCCTGGACCCTATATGCGGCAGGTTTCAACCCCCGATCGTTCAAGAAGACCGAAGCAGCCCTGGTGCAGAATACGTACGACAACCCGGCCGAATTTCCGAAGATGATATGGAGTACCAACTATACACGACTGGTCTGCCAGACCATGTTTACTTTGTTTTGGGGAGGTCGGGACTTTGCCCCCAAGGCCATCATCGATGGCATGAACATCCAGGACTATCTGCAGGGTCACTTCATTGCAGCATGCAAGTACTTTGCTGAAAAAATTCATGAGGCTGGGGATATCGAAAGCGAAGTGGTCATTGGATGGGAGAGCATGAATGAACCTCACAGAGGTCTGATTGGATTCCAAGATATCTCTGTGATCCCACCTGAACAGCAACTTCAACTGGGCACATCGCCTACTGCTTTCCAGGCTATGCTGACCGGTTCGGGACGCGCATGTGAGGAGACAACCTGGGCCTTTGGCGGCTTTGGCCCTCATCAGACCGGCAGAGAATTGGTGGATCCAGAGGGCGAAATCGCTTGGTTGCCAGACGACTACGACGACGAGAAATACGGTTGGAAGAGAGACTCGAATTGGAAGCTGGGAGAATGTCTATGGGCCCAGCATGGTGTATGGGATCCGTCATCGGACCAGTTACTGCGAAAGGACTATTTCGCCAAACACCCTCGAACAGGTGAACCACTTAACTACGACCTCTTCACCAATACATATTTCATGGAACATTACCGGGCTTACAAAGATGCTCTTCGGAGCGTGTGGCCGGATGCAATCATGTTTTGTCAACCCCCTGTCATGGAGGTTCCGCCCAACCTAGAGGGAACGGCGGACGATGACCCTAATATGGTGCATGCAGCTCATTACTATGATGGACTCACTTTGTTGACGAAGCACTGGTAAGTAATTAAGCCATGTCTTTCCGCGCAGTGCTAACCATGTCCACTGCAGGAATCGACTATACAATGTGGATGTAATTGGGGTACTTCGTGGCAAGTACCTCACACCAGCCTTTGCCATCAAGATTGGAGAGTCGGCGATTCGCAATTGCTTGCGTGACCAGTTGAAGTTTCTACGGGACGAGAGCTTGAAATATATGGGCAATCACCCCATGGTTTTCACAGAGATCGGCATTCCCTATGACATGGACGACAAACATGCCTACAAGACGGGTGATTATAGCAGTCAGGTCAGCGCTATGGACGCCAACCATTTTGCACTGGAGGGCAGTACGGCAAATGGCTTCACATTGTGGCTTTATACTACCACGGTAAGCGGCGAGCAGTAACGCTACCACGCTGAGTGAAAGGAATTGAGACTGACACCGTCGCAGAACAATCACGAATGGGGCGACAACTGGAACGGGGAGGACTTATCGATCTATTCGGTCGATGATTTCGAGCTTCCCAGTGGGAAATACTCTGACTTGGAAACTGACTCTCGGGTAGAGACTGACCCTCACTCACCAGCATACTCCGAGAGTCAAGGTAGTATTCAGCATCAGTCGATAGGGCCTGACAACCTGAAGAGTGCGCTGTCGGCTCCCTCTATCACTTCGGAGTTCAGTCAGTCGAACGAGGACAAACTTGGGTTCCGTGCGGCAGAGGCCTTCATCCGGCCGAGTCCAATCTTCACCAGCGGCCTGGTTTCGAAATATACGTTCGACCTCAGGAACTGCACATTCACGCTGTCGCTGATTGGAAATGAAAGGTCGCTGAGCGAGGAGACTGCGACCGAGATCTACCTTCCCGAGTTTCACTTCCCAGGAGGGCACACTGTTGTCTCCGTCAGTAGCGGAGAATGGACCATTGACTCGGTTGAGGTCAACTCAGTCAAGGTACAACGGTTGTGTTGGTGGCATCCGGCGGGGGCTCATGATATCAAGATTCAGGGGGTCAAACGTAAGCCAGGCGAGTCTGCCACCTCGTCGAGTGATGAGCTGTCGTATCTAGAGCAATGCCAGAGCAGCGGATGCAGCGTGATGTGATTGTCCTTGATTGGCGTGGGTTCTGTGTTTCTGTCTTCTTTGCTATGCGAGCGCATTTTGTGGTTGTTGTCACATTTGTTTTCTGAGATCTTGGATCGAGTAAGTCATGCCGGTATAATTACTCGAATATGACGCCAGCAATGGCTCGAATAAACATGCACCCGTGAGTGGAATCTGAGATAGAACATGTACTAGGCAGGAAGTAAACAAAAGTCTAGCTGGGTGGCTTATCGATAAGAGCAGTCGGAACCCCCCCAGGAAGCGGTGAGGAGGACTAGCGGGGGAGAGGGACGAACCGGTGTGGTGATTGGAGCGGGAGCGCGTGGAAAATTCTCCTGGTAAGGCGGGCGTTCGTCAAGGTTGATTATCTGCCGTAACTTATCGATTCACGTTCACTGTTGCTCTTGCTCCTGCTCTTTCCCTCTTCCCGTACTTCGATTCTTCCCTTCAAATCTCTTCTTCAAGCTTCAAGTGTGGTGGATAATACACACTTCCCCACTCCGTACTTGTCTTTCTTTGAATTTCTGTTTCTACTACTGTCTAATTATTCATTTCAAATCATATATCGGGAGCAGAAGGGAAGAAAACACAAGGAAACCAAAAAGCACCAAAACACCGTCCATCTATAAGCACTCCACTTCGTTTAGGCAGAACAACATCGGCGCCTCGCAGGGAACCAATCTCCTTTATTGAGCCGCAACTGCCTTCACACCCCCTCCCCTAGACGGCGGTTGCCGTGTGTTCAGCGATCACTCAGTGTTGCCCACTTGCACAAAACACCATCGCTGACTTGTGGCTGAAAGTCCCCGGGGGCAGGATTCTATTATTACCTCCCCTTAACTAATTTCCCCCCTCCAGTTGTCAAAAAGTTTGCCCAACTCAGATCCGCTTCCCACCACGGAAGTTTGGGAGCCCCAAAGAGAAACAGAGGGAGATTTTGCAGGGATCTACAAGATAATGAGAACATTGCAAGTGTCACTTCACCAATTGTCAAGGTAATCATAGCTTTTTTTTATTGTCTTTGTTTCCAAGAGCAGCGAAGAAGTTGTACCTCTCATTTCCCACATCATCCATGGCGGCCGAAGGTGATCTATCGGAGGGCCGCATGGCCGACATCATTCGCGCCTTGGAGCTTATCCACAACCCGTCCTCCACCAACGAGCTACGCAGAGAAGCCTTGACCTTTGTCGAGGCCCAAAAAGAGAGCAAGTCGGCAGCGCAGAATGGTTACATGCTTGCGCTGCCCGAGCAAACCAATCCTCTGGTCCGCTATTTCGGTCTGGGTTTGTTGGATCATGTCTTGCGCCACACCTCCTTTGAAGCTCAAGACCAGATTTCGGCGATCAGGGACCTCGTTCTGAAGTTGGCGGAGTCGATCCGACCTGAAGATCCTGCTTACATTCGCAACAAGATCCCGCAACTGTGGGCCGAGGTCGCCAAGAGGAGCTGGGGCTTAGATTGGAACTCCATGGACGAAACGCTTCTTCAGTTCTGGAATGCGAGCCTCGTGCACAAGGAATTGGTACTCTCTATTCTTGAAACTCTGTCGGAGGACATCTTCTATCGTGAAGATACCGTATCATCCTTGCGTGGCACGGACCTAAACCGGGCTATGGTCGAAATCTGTACGTCCCTGGCCGTCTTTGAGGAGATCCATCCTAAGAAGGATAATCTTGAGCTGCGTTGCGGACCTGAGGGATGGATGTCTCGCATTTGTGCTTTTCTGCATGACTGTATCGGGAACATCCAGAACTCAAAGCAGGCCCGAGACTCCGCACTGAAAGCGCTTGCCACTCTCAAATCTCTCCTGACATGGGCAATTCCCAAGGGTGTGCTCTCGTCCAACTGTGTCCCCTGTATCGCCAGTGCCTTCACCTGCAATGACGAGCTTGTGCTCTTGGCGGCTGTTGAAGCTCTGCATGCGCTGTACAGCAGGTCTCACGTGGAAATCGAAGGATTCCAGCCCCTGGTACACTTCATGTACGAGACTCAGGCGCTCAGTGTGCTTCAGAAGCTGTACGAATGGTCAGTTGTGGGACCGGACGATGTGGACGACACCAAGTATACTATTTGCAAAAAGCTCTCCGAGATGATTTCGTACATCGCTGGATTTCTCGAAGAGAAGGCATTTTCACTGGAAAGCGCACAGGGCATGGACCTACCTTTCTTCTTTCATCTTACCATTACTGTCATCCAAAATCAAAGTCTCACAATCTCGATCCCTGTCCTTCATGTGTGGTCTAAATTGATAGCCTCCGAGAGGATCGGAAACACGGACCTGGTTATCGGTCTAATCCCTTCGTTGCTGAGTATTTGTACTGAGCGCCTCATTCGCTGGGAATCGCTACCGGCAGAATCCGACAACCCTACAGTGATGTTCCTTAACGAGGATATCGACACAATCCCCGAGAGACACGCTTTTGTCGGGAACTATCGCCGATACTGTTCCTCCATCATCGAAACAATCGTCCAAAAGCGACCCCAAGACGCCATACCCCATATACTTGCAGGAATTGATGGCAACCTAGACAATCTTTACAGCGGTGTGGAAGCTTTCACTGTGAAGTCATTCTCAAAGACCTCTATACCCCTTATGCGGGCCGACACGCAGTTTGCGGTTGTCGAAGCAACGTTAAAAGGGTACAACAAATGGGTATCTGCTCACGGAAAGATGCCTCAGCAGGATGAACAGAAGCGCAGCGACTTGGAACAGATTTTGGAGGCGTGGGCTTTCAAATTAATGCAACGTAACTTTGAAGATCCAGTTTTGAAACAGAGAGTGATCAAGCTTATTGTCGATATTTCCGCCAGAGCTCTCGACAAGACCCCGAGCTTTGCACTGAAAGCATTGGAGTACATCTTGATGACCCGCCTCCCTGACCAGCCAGAGTATCCCGTCTATTCGGAATCGGTTAAGGAGCTTCACGGTCTTGCCAGCCATGAGCTCCGGCGCTTGGCCATGCGCTATGCAGACTACTTCTCTACGTTCTACGACATATTGGAACCGAAGATCAAGGAGATATCCATGGCCAACCGGGTAGACGATAAGCTTCATATGGAACTCACTTCTATCCTGCTTATCATCATGCAGCGAGCAAATAACGTCGAACCCTACCTTCGTCAATCTCGTCTTCTGTCTTTCGTGGAGCCGGTCAAGCAAGCATGGCAAGAGGAAGAATTCCGGACTGTGAGCTCAACATTTGAGGGCTTCTGTGCTATGCTTGGTCTACAGAATGTCGGAGCATATATGCAGTGCAGACAGGCTCAAAAGCTTGAAGACTGGTCTTCTGTCCCTCTGGACCATGAGGGTAAGCTCATTCAAGAAGAAATGACTAGGAAGTTTCAGCAACTACCTTTGAGAGGTACCAAGACGATGCTGGCCGTCTCTACGGATAAGCTCAAAAGGTCTGAACCAGCATATGAGCTTGCTTGCAATGTATGGCATGACCTTATTCCTATCATCTTGCCGACGCTTCTCCAGTTAGTCAGTAATGCTCATGCTTTCCACAATCCTGGCAACTGGAAGGGCTTGCCCGCAGACATGGCGCCAATTGTGGAACGCATTTTGACCGATAGGTTTTGGCAAGCGGGGATCTCCACTGGTAGCCGTGATGAGTTCTATGCCAAGATCACCGCATCTCGTGGCTCAATCGAAGGATTTGCCTCATCCGTGAGAGGCAAAATTCGAGCTGTGCGTGAAGCGTGCTACTCAATGTTGTTCAGCATGAGCCGACTACGGGAGAATTTCTATGGATTCGCAGAACTTCCAGGTCCCCTCTCACAAGCTCTCTTCAAGGACTCCGCCCACCTATCCTCTCATCAGTTCTCTGTCCTTCTCAATATCTCACGCTGCTTGATCGATGACTGCCCGGTTCGCTTCCGAAGCAACTTTCTGCCTCCAATGCTGGCCACCCTCTTTACCAGCATTGATAAGAAGGTCACATCGGAATGGGAGCTGATTGAACAAAGAAAAGAGGGACTTGCTGAGTCTGACGACCTGACTGACGAGATGAAGTCCGAGAGTATCCTGCGCCAGTTGACGTATTCTGCGGTGATCATGGTCGCAAGTCTGCTTGATCCTCAACGTGGTGGTAAGTCAAAGAGCGTTGACTATTAGGAAGCATGCTAAACGGTAATCTAGATCCTGATGACGAGCTAGCAGATCCCAGCGCTCTGCAGCCTGCACCGGCACTCTCGGACTCTATCCGGCATTTTATTCTTTCTTCACCTGAGATATTTGAGCCAGTTATGCTTTTCTGCACCCATGCCCTTCGTATGCGCGATACCCGTTGCTGCAGCATCATCACCCGTGTCATTCGCTCCATCCTGCAAGACTTTGCCCCTCCCAACAACGCACCTACCACAATTACTATCCGCGAGTTCATCTCTTCCGAGGTCCTCAAGGCTTGCATCACGTCTGTGCATGAGCCCTACTTTGTGGACATGCAGAAAGACCTTGCTCAGCTCATTGCGTCTATCTGGGTTCTCTACGGCTCGAGCAGCCCGACCCCGCGCGCAGTGATTCTGAGCCTTCCTGGCATGAGCGAGCAGCGAGTGGCCAATGCAGAAGCCGCGCTGGTAAGGTCAACCGCCGCAAGACAGCAGAGAGCCTTGATCTTGGATCTTCTAGAGAGCTTGAGAGGCGTCAGCATAGCTGAGCAAGGTAAGATCTTGGGTTCGCGCGAGGACCGCCGGAAAGCGCGGAGTGCCCTGCAGGAGAGATACATGACAAGTGAGATGGAGGGCCAGCAGAATCAGAAAGTCGATATCAACGACGGACCGGATCTGTCCGGGGTGGCGGATTTGTTTGGTTAGGATCCCACAGTTTATAGATTCCTGGAGGTTGGACCGCTTCTCGGTTTACTCCTTTGTATAGTATGGCGGTAGTGTACGGCCACTGCCGTTACAGCTACCTCCTTATCGGTTTGCATAGCCATTACTAAAGAATATAGACAGCTCGTTGAAGCCACCTGAAAATCAGGGAGCGAAAAGTGTCAAGGGAATTCAGGCATCTTTTGCACAAACAGCAGTCGCCGATTTGAGGTCATATAGTATAATTGTGTATAGACGGACAGTGTCTCGAAAATGACTACGACGGCTAGCTAGATGTTGCGTATCGCGCATGAAGGCTGCAGTAACCTACCTTCTACTCTGCCAGCTGCGAAGGCTTCACCTCTCCACGTGGAGGCGATCATCCCAATAGAGCGTAAACCAAGATCCATACCATAAATTCAGGACTCCGTCGCCCCTACGCCCATGGACGTAACGACTTGCAATATTTCTGAGAAAAGGGCAAAAGCTTTGGAAGAAAACAAACCACAATCGCAATCCTAAATAAAGTACACAATGGAAACAAACAATGAGGCAAAGAAAAAAAATTGTCTTCAAGACTTTTTTTCTTTTTTGGATTTGATTCTCAAAAAAAAACTTCAATTTACTCAGTAACCTGCGAAGGGGTATAGGCAAAGGTAGGGCGGACGAAGCTGTTGCCATGCCATTACACGATTAGCTCTCCATAGCGTGCTATTTCAGAAGAGAGGTGGGGGGGGGGGGAAGGCGCGCGTACCGGTCAGAGTTATACACCCTGTTCTCCGAGCCCAGGAGCTGCTGCTCGCGGGCCTTGTCGGCGTAGTAGCGACGGACCTGATCGCGGTCTTCTTCGGCCTGGAGGAGGGGGATGATGTGCAGGCGGCCCCAGAGTTTCTCGCGGCCGAGTTCGCTGTGGGCATCGTTGTTAGCTTCTGGGTCTGGTCTTGTTGTCGTCTTGGGAGGGTTGGAATTGAGGGTTTGGGGTTGGGGCTTGCAGGGGCTGAGGGACTGAGGGCCGAGAAAACTGGACGTACTGCATTTCACGCATCGAGTAGTATTGCTTGTACAGACCGTAGCTGACGGCGCCGACCATTCCGGCGAGGTAGACGATGGGACGGAAGCCGCGGACGGGGACGTTGCGCTATTTCGGTTGAGAGGTGTTAGTTTATGTTCAGTGGATGCGGAGGAGGGTTGGTTTGTTGAGTTCTCTGGTCATGAGGGTTTCGCGGGGTGAACGCGATGTGACAATGAGGGGGGTTTGAAGCAATGGTATGGGATCGATCGGTTTGATCCGGGGTTGGCGTTGGTATCCCAGGAAAACTTGGAAGGGTCAATCGCACCTTGTATTGCACCTGGTGGTAGCCCCCAGCGGGGGGCATGTCCTGAGGCATGTTGAACGGTTGGGAGGAGGGGGGAACGATTGATTTTGGTTCAGGTGAGTCGTACCTTACGGCCGGGCCGAGCTTCGATTTGGAGATATGATGCCGTTGGTTTGAGGTTGGGAGAGTGTGAAAGTCACGTGGTTGGCGGCGGACGCGGTAATGCGGGCTGCCTGGGTTCTCATTGGTGGGGAGGAAGGGGAGAAGATCTGCCCGGGTTCCGAAATTCATTGATTAATTGTTCTAGTCATTGTCGATTGATTTGTTTATGAACAGCGGGATTTTTGATTTCTTGGATACTTGGGCTTGTTCGGCGAGATAATATACTATATTTACAGTGTCTGCTTTGAAGACGCTTGTTTTGAGAGACTTTTGCTGGGCTTTGTCTCAATTGTGAAGAGTTCTTCCCTTCGAGAGAGAAAATGGAGGAAGAAGGTCGTCCCAGAAAGTTGGTCAAGCTCGACCACGACGACTCGCAACAACAACCACCCCAACAGGACTCAACAATGGCGGAGTCAGATCCCGTGTCAGAACTCACGACTGCCGCAGTCGAACCCCGCGACACCGATGAAACCACCACAACAACAGCGAACAATGGCGCCCCGAGCGAACCAACTGACGAGACGGCACCAATGTCCAAGCGCGCCATGAAGCGCCAGCGCCGCCGCGAACAATGGGAAGAAGGACGCGATCAGCGTAAAGTCAAGCGGAAGGAGCGCATCCAGGCCCGCAAGGAGCGCCGGCGGGCGGAGCTCCAGGTCGCAAAGGACGAGGGCCGGGAGGCGGAGTTCCGCAAGGAGCACGAGCGCACGCCCGCGCGGTTCCGGAAGGGCACCCTGCTACCGCTGACGCTGATTCTCGACTGCGGGTTCGACGAGCTGATGATCGAGAAGGAGCGCATCTCGCTGGGCTCGCAGCTGACCCGGTCGTACTCGGACAACAGCCGCGCGCCGTTCCGGTCGCACTTGGTGGTCTCCTCGTTCAACAAGCTGCTGAAGCAGCGGTTCGATACCGTGCTGGCGAAGACGTACGAGAACTGGAAGGGCATCCGGTTCCTGGAGGCGGACTTCGTCGAGGCCGCGGAGAAGGCCAAGGAGTGGATGGTCGTGCCGGACGGCGGCCGGTTCGAGGGCGTCTTTGCGGATAAAGCGGACACAAAGCCCGAGGACGGCGAGATCGTCTACTTGAGCAGCGACAGTCCGCACACGCTGACGGAGCTGAAGCCGTTTAGTACCTACATCATCGGCGGATTGGTGGATAAGAACCGCCACAAGGGGATTTGCTACAAACAGGCTGTCGAGCGGGGGATCAAGACGGCCAAATTGCCGATTGGGGAATACATCCAGATGGCCTCCCGTCAGGTCTTGGCTACGAACCATGTGGTGGAGATCATGCTGAAGTGGTTGGAAGTGGGCGACTGGGGCAAGGCTTTCATGGAGGTCATTCCCCAGCGGAAAGGCGGCACTTTGAGAGAGTCAGTCAGTGAGTCGGGGGAGCCACAGGATGAGGAAGGAGATGAGGCAGAGGAGGAAGAAGAGGGAGAGGGGGAGAAAGATGCAGAAGAAGGGGCTGAGGCTGTTCAGAAAGCGGATACCGTTGCACAAGAGCAGGAGCAGGAGGAACAAAACGATGCAGTAGAGGCCAAAGAGGGCAACTAGATCGAAGCTAGAACCATGGAATGTAATGTACTGTACTGTATACTGCATAGTAGAACTGATGATGATGATGATTATGATGATTTTCACATGATTGGTATGCACCGCCACCCGAGCCACAGACCGATCAACGCCACACCCGTTGCCACTCGATGACGGCAGAAAACAACAACAGCGGAAATCAAAACATTTTATTTTCTACTTCACCCCAAGGCATCGCCTGCCATCCCACATTCACAAGTCGCAGTCGGTTGCAGTCAGCCTCCCGTTGACTGTTCTCTGCCACTGCTACGCAGCTTCTTACTCTCGGCAACACCGGTGATCTATACTTTTCCTACTTATCTTGCATCTGCGTTGATCAACACCCCTGCTCCCCTAGCAACAGGATCTCCCCTGCCTGATATCATCCGAATAAACAATCTGTTCCTGTTGCTTCGACGCCCGGCCAGCTGCAGCCATGTTCATGCTCCGCAATGGTAAGTTCCCCCCATTCAGCTCTTGGTCTAGGCTCAGTATCAGACACCTTCACTTTCACTTACACTTTGCCTTACACTTTCCCTATTCACTTAACCCCACCATCGACCCCTCCTTCCTTCTCCTCCCCGCTCACCTCTTCATGTTGACCTCACTCCTCCACCATCACATGCTAACCATCTAACCTTTCTCTGCTTTTCAGTGAGCAAGTACCTCTTCGGAGACACTTCCAAAGAATCCATCATCGAAATCCCTCAGGGACAACTGTACCTTGTCCGCCCCCTATCACCCAAGGGATACTCGGAGCTCATCTTCAAGGACGCCGCTGCCTCCATCAGACGCACCGGGCAAGAATTTCAATACCAACTAGTCGTTCAACGAGCCTACGAGGAAGGTGAAGAGGAGCTTGCTGAAGACGACGACGAACAAGGCAGTGACAGCTTGGATAAAGACGAGAAGGTCTTCCTGCTCGACCAAGCTCTTCACTTCCGTTCCGAGGTCCGTGAAGGTGGTGCAAAGATCCTGGCCTGGAGAGACCTCAGTGGCGACGTAGGTGATCTCTTCGAGTTTGTCTGTGACGCGTCCGTACCCGCGGACAAGGTTTCTACCTTTGAGTTGGCCGCCCTTCAGTGCCAGTACGAGCGAACGTATCGACGGAGCGCGCAGGGTGCTACTCGGGAAGAATTGCAAGAGTTCTCATTCCAAGAGGAGAGGCCCATCCCGTCAGCAAGTCCCATCTCTTCGCCCACCAAGTCTCGTGACCATTCCATCGATTCTCCCGACGCAGCGACTGCCATGGCGAGGGACGTGGAATATTCTAAATCCAAGGGCCTCATCAAGCCCGTTGCTCAAGATGAATCGACTGTTGCTCCGCCGTCGGCTGCACAACCCGAGGCTCGGGAGATTCTCGCCCAAGAGAAGGCCGAACTGCATCTCTTCGATTTCCCCACTGGAACCTTTGTACAGCAAGATGCCAATATTACCGCGACAGTCTCCGAGGTCGGTGACTGGCAATACTGGCTCCAGATCAGCGGAGACGACAAGGAATGGCTTGGCCAGGCAGTCGTCGCTGATATCAACCCTATCTTCAACTTTGAATATTTGTCCTTCATCTTCAACGCCTACAGCGAGGATGGTTCGGCCTACTCTTGGCTCCTGCGCTTCCACAATCAAGAGACGGAAGAGAGATTCCAAGAGGGTCTTATGCAGGCGCTGTGGGAACAGCTGAATGAAATGAAGTGGGCCAAGGTCAAGGAGAATGAGAAGGAGTATGTTTTGGACGCCTTCCAGGATCTGACCATGGAGGACGCTGAGGAGCGCGAAGCCGAGGCTGAGGCCGAGGAGGAAGAGGAGTCCGAAGAAGAGGACCAGGATGACGGCCAGCGTAGCGAGCACTACGATTCCGATGAGGAAGAAGACGATGTGGTGACCCGTGAAGATGATGGCAATGTCAACTCGCAACTGGCCGTCGGTTACAAGCACGATCGCTCGTTCGTTGTTCGTGGTTCCAAGATTGGCGTGTTCAAGCACACCCCCAACAACAATCTCGAATTCTCGACCAACATCTCCAAGGTTGAGACTCCTAGTGGCAAGCTTTTCAGCCCGAAGAAGGTCATGTTACATGCCGAAGACTCGAACATGATCCTACAGAATAGCGACGATCCCAACTCGCTCTACCGCATGGACTTAGAGTATGGTAAGATTGTGGACGAGTGGAAGGTGCATGATGACATCCCTGTCCACACCTTTGCCCCGGAGAGTGTAAGTCAACTTCCACATTACTACCTGTGACTTGACGATCGCTAATTGTTCGCCTAGAAATTCTCCCAAATGACTTCCGCCCAATCTTTCATTGGTGCCTCGAAGAATGCTCTGTTCCGCGTTGATCCCCGTGTGGCTGGAAACAAGCTGGTGGAGTCTGAGCTGAAGCAATACGCCAGCAAGAACGACTTCTCCTCCGTGGCCACCACGGAGAAGGGCTATATTGCCGTCGCGTCTAACAAGGGCGATATCCGCATGTTTGACCGACTTGGCATCAATGCCAAGACTCATATTCCTGCGCTGGGCGAGCCCATCATTGGTCTCGATGTGTCTGCCGACGGTCGCTGGGTCTTGGCTACGTGCCGCACCTATCTCCTGCTCATCGACGCCCTGCAGAAGGATGGCAAGAATGAGGGAAAGCTAGGATTTGAGCGTTCTTTCGCCAAAGACTCTAAGCCGCAGCCGCGTCGTTTGGGTCTGCAGCCCGCTCATGTCGCACAATTCCAGCACGAGACCAAGAAACCAATCGCTTTCACTCAGGCTCGCTTCAACACGGGCGTTGACTCTCAGGAAACATCGATTGTCACCGCGACCGGTCCCTTTATCATCACCTGGAGCTTGAAGAAGGTCATCGCTGGCCGCAAGGACCCCTACACCATCAAGCGGTATGGTGAAGAAGTTATGGCGGACAATTTCCGCTTCGGTTCGGACAAGAATGTCATTGTTGCGCTTCCCAATGAAGTCAACATGGTGGCCAAGAAGAGTCTTCTGAAGCCGACGCGTGAGAGTATTGCTGGCCCCTTGCCCATGACTCCTCGGCGCCGTACCCAGTGGGGTAGTCGCTTGGGCCGGGACGACATTGTCAACTCGCCGTACTGATGCTGATTTGGTGGTTTTCTGTTTCAATTTATTGCATTGCATACCCCTCTGTGTTATACTTTTTTTGAGTCTATCCCTTCTACACGTCGTGTCACTATTCCTGCTTGTAATCACGGATTGTAATGTCTTGCTGGAATCGTCTGACAATGGGATTGGAAATGGCGAATGATACGACGATTATACTTCTCCTAGGTAGCTCTATGTAGTGGTAATCAAAGTACACGAATTATGAGATGACGACGGATTATCCGGACACTGGCCACTGGCCACAATGTTGTAGTGGGCGCTGCCATATACTAACTCCGGGTGAATATTTCATCTGCCTTGCGCCCACCACACACCTACCCTCATTCCTGCCACCTTGCTGGGTCAATGTTCAGTTTATTATAGACCATTCTGCCCGCAGATCATGATCCCCCCTTTCTCACTCAGCAGCAATCAATTTTCCAATGGCCGAGTGGAGACACACACATATACCTATTACCCAAACAGGGGGCTCATTTGCGCGCCCTGCCCTAGGAACCGACATACCAAACCTCTACACCAAGGATATCGAACTTGACGCCTTCATCCGAGAGCGGCTCATTGCCAAAGGTCTGCGAAGCGGCACTGACACCTTTCTCCAAGCTCGAGTCCACCCAGAGACCGTAATGCCCATCCCTAGACCGCCACCGCTTTGTTAGCACTTCCAGTATAACAAACAATTCACCCTTACCGAATAAACGAGCGAGGGAAGGGAGGAAAGATAAAAACTCACCCGCCACCAAGACTCAAGAATCCGGTCTCACAGAACATCATATAATCATTGACCCCGCTGTAGGGGAACGCCTTGAAGCGGATCTGCTCCGGCGTGGCCGTCCCACTCCGACTCTGTTGTCCCGGATGTTGGGGGCTGCTACTCGTCCCCCCCGGAACCGACAAGTTCCCGCTGGGACGGGGCAAGGGACTCCGACTCCGCAGGGTGGTCGACCGCCCGGCGTGCGTGGTATCCGCGCTGGGCGGTAAGGGGAGTCCGGCGCGTTCGAGCGCCTCCCACGCGGCATCCTCGTGGTTTGGATCGTTGTCTTGGGTGTTTTTGTTGATGGTTGACATCGACTGCAGGAGTTGGACGGTCGAGGGCGGCTGCAGCACCGAGGCGCGCCAGAGAAAACACTCGCCTGTGCCGAAGTAGTGCGAGTCCGGGTGCGGGGGGTCGGTCATGTAGGCGCCGAAGACGGCGCCGCTGCTGTGGGTACTGGTGTGGTTGGTGGATGTGGTGGTGGGTGTTGAGGAGGAAGTGGATGGGGAGGCGTCGCGGATGATCAGGACGTAGCCCGCCCGCGGGCTACGGTGGGAGATGGCGCGGCAGTTCTCGTACAGCGTCGACAGCGAGGCGCCGTCGCGTTCGAGGCTGTAGGCCAGTCGCCAGGTGTCGCAGAGTTGGAGGCGGGCGGGCACCAGCAGCCGGATCTCTTCGGCCAGCGAGCGCGTGAGTAGGTAGTCTTCGTTGTTGGGGGGGTGGTGGCTGTCCGGGTCGGTGAGGGTTAGTGGGGTGAGGGGCGGTGGTTGGAAGGGCGAGGCGGTGCGGATGGGCGTGAAGAGCGTGTTCGTTGCGGTGGATGCGTCGGCGGGCGTTGTGTTGGAGTGCCAGGGGCGGCGCATCGTGCTGTCCTTCTTGTTGTTGGTGCTGGTTTTGGTGGATTGAGGGTCGGTGAAGCGGCGGTAGAGGCCTGAGACGACGTGGGTGACCGGGTAGGAGAAGTAGGAGGCTGCGGATTGATGGAGGGAAGAGGACCGCTGTTGCTGGTGGTGGTGGTGCTGATGCTGGTGCTGGGTTGGAGGTGGTTGTTGTTGTTGTTGTTGTTGCTCCTGGGGCTGGTCTAGAGGTCGAGGGGAAGAGGAAGTACTCGAGGACAGCGAGTATGACGACATGCGGGCGGAGATGCTCAGGACTTCTTGCAATTGAAGTGGTGGGATTGAACGAATGTCATAGATCGATTTAGAGTAAGTCAGGTACTGACAATGACCATGGAGGGGAAGAGGGAGGACCCGGCGAGAGAAGGTGGAAGTGAAAGAAAGTGGAGGAGAGAGAGGAGAGAGGGAGGATGATGATGAGGTGTGAACAAGATAAGGAGTTTAATCAATCAATCAATCAATCAATCAGCCCACACCAATTTAGTTTACAGGATCCTCGAGTATACTTCTAGATCAGACCCTGGCACTTTATTTTCCACCATTAGTCTCTGGTTCCATAGACGATTCTATACATTCAATAAACTCTGTACAGCTATTCATTCTATCCAGCAATTGGGGGCCACCATTCGCCATGTTCCACTTTGTACTGGTACACACCAATTGATTGTCTCCGTATCTTTTTGTACTGCAAAATATCTTCAATCGCAACCTCCCCCACTACAGCTCTACACATCCATTGAGCTTCACCCCAACACTGCAACATGACAGACTCTCCGCCTCCTCCCTTGCAGCAACCTGCCTCCAACACGACTGTCTTTCTCGATCAACCGCCCAGTTGTCTGCAATTCAGCCCCGCTATTTCCGACTGCTGCATCATCGGCACCTACTTGCTGTCCGAGCAGAAAGACGAAACAAATGACTCCAACATCCAACAAACCAAGACCGGGTCTCTGCAGCTCTGGCGCATAAACCCCTCTACGAACGAACTGTGAGATCCTCTACACTATGCCAGCATCACCCCCAGAACGAGACAACTAACCGCATCCAGCACTCTCCTCTCCAAACTCCCTCTCCCCTACGCAGTCTTCGACCTCCACTTCCACCCTCGCGACCCCTCCCTCCTCTCCGTCGCAACAAGCGCAGGCTCCGTTGCCTTCTTCCGCCTCACGCCGGGTGAAAATGATGATCAACCGCCTACCCTAAACCATCTCCTCACGCATTCCGTCCACGAAGACCCCTCCATCCCCGCCCTCTTCCTCGCCTGGACGCCCTCGACCTGGCCATCCCTAACCCCCGGTACCAATACTGACAACACTCCCCTCGACGCCTTCGCCGTGACCTTCTCCGACAGCCTCACAACCATCTTTCAATATACCCCCGGCCCTGAGCCCGACTCACCACCCCAGATCGCGGAACTCGATTCCTTCCCAGCCTCGCAAGCCATTGAAGTCTGGTTCGCCGCGCTCGCGACCTTTCCCAACGCCTCTTCTTCCCAGCAGCAACAAATCCCCTACATCTTCACAGGGAACGACTTCGGCGCCCTCCACACCCGCCGCTACGACACCAACCGGACACCCACAACCTCATCATCAGAGACAGACCCTCAGCTTCAACAACTCTCCGCTCTTCTCGACCATCACGACCGCGCCCGCCACCACACCGCAGGCGTAACCTCCATCCTCTCCTTGCCCATTCCACTCCAAGATGACAGTCCCGTCATTCTGACGGGGAGCTACGACGAGTCTTTGCGAGTGTATCACGCTACTCGACGTGGGGAGGTTCTCGCGGAGATAGGGCTGGGCGGAGGCGTGTGGCGGCTGCAGCTTCTGTCGTCGTCGTCGTCGTCGTCGTCGTCGTCTGTAGCTGGAGAAGGAGACGGATGGACCGGTCTGGTGTTGGCGAGCTGCATGCACGGCGGGACGCGGGTCGTGCGGGTGCAGTGCTCCGCGGAGTCCGGGTGGGAGTTGGAGATCTTGGCGGAGTTCACGGAGCATGAGAGTATGAATTATGCGTCGGATGTGTGGAAGCCTGCGGGGGGCTATGAGCTACCTGTGCGCAGCGACAAAGCGGGAAAGCAGGAGCAGGAGATCCTGTGCTTGTCGAGTAGTTTCTATGATCGGCGGGTCTGCCTGTGGCGGGTTCGGGTATAGATAAAGTGTAAATAAATAAAACCATATTATAGTAAATGCTTAAGTGTATGGTGCAAGAGAAACGCATCTATCCTCTGCAGGAGAGAAAGAATGAAAAAATGGCATACCAAATCGATATCTCATTATAATGATGCAGACAATACAACCCCCAATCCCCAAATCTTTGTCTAAGTACACCACCACCCCTTTAAAAATACGCCGGACTTAAACAATCGTCTCCAACTCCCGCGCATACCCGATCGCATTCTCAATGATCGTCCCACTGGCCACCAGGATATCCTTCTCCGAGCGAGCAGCCGCCTCCGGCTCGACGGGGAAATAGATCCGGCCGTCCCGCAGCACCCACCCCCGCTGCTGGGCGAACTCGATCACCGCACCCTCGGAGTCCATGAAGAGCAGGTTCTTGGCGTTGGAGATTGGCAATGACGGGTACGCCTTCTCGGAGCAATCGGCGATTTCACTGCGGATCGTACCCACGAGGACCTACACGACACACACACACAACAAACATTAGCACACGCGCACACAACCACCCACACACCAATCTCAATCCCCCAGGACGAGGACCGGGGAAAAGGGAAGACAAACACTCGAAAACAACCCGAAATCCTCCCCGGGCACCCGCTCCGAATTCGTCTCGCGCCACACCTTATCGTAGCTCCCTTCCATGAGATTCCGCTCCAGCTCCACGGGGTACTTGATGAAGGGATCATCCTCGACGCTCCGGCCCTGCAGACTGGCCTCCTCGACCAGGCCCTCCAGCACCGTGTGGAAGCTCGTGCTATCGCCCATGCTCAGCAGGAGCAGCAGGTACAGGCCTGTGATCTTGCTGCGTTGGCTGTTGCTGTTTGAGGGGGTGTCGCGCTCCAGATCGTAGAACGGCTGCAGCTGTTGGTAGTAGCGCGTGAAGCCGGGGGCGTCGGTCTGGCGGATCGCGGCGAGGGCGCCGAGTTCGAGGATCTCGCGGGCCAGCGGGAGCAGGTCCCGCGGCGTGGTCGGGGTCGGGATCAGAGCGTTCTGCTGGAGGAGCGTGCGCTTCGCTTGTGTGAGGAGGGTGGTGGTCTTTTCGAGGTCGGAGGCGCTCAGGCTGCTGTGGAGCGAGGTGAGAAGGGTGCGGAGGTCGGTGGTGGCCATCTTCGGTGATTGGTTTGGGCCGTGTGTTTGGGGGAATATGGGGGGGGGGAGGGGAGGGGGGATAGGAGAGGGGGCTGGACGTGAGGGTTTCGATGGTCGGTGGTTGAGCTGTAGATGGTGATGAGGATGGGTGAATTCAAGTTTAGGATTGAGTTGTTGTATCGTTGGAAGAGGGTTAGGCTGATGGACCAACGTTGACGTTGATGCTTGGAACTGCCGGGAAGAGCTGTCCCCGGGCGGTGAGAGATGAGTCACGTGTCATACTTAGAGCATCTTACCCGATTGGGAAATACCTACAGGACCCCGGGCCTGGCAGGGCATACAGCTGTCCGTTACAATAATTCTATGGGCAGAAGGAAGTTTGTTAGTTTGCAGGAAGAATGACTGGCTAGTGTAACTAAGCTTCCAATGCAAGCTCCAATAGAGTCTCATAGTATGGTGTTCCCAACCCCGTCACGGGGTCCCAGCCTGGAGTCGCATTCCACCCGGCATACGGAACTTGCGCTCCAGTGGGTTTGTCACAGCCAACTGATCCTCCATCGACGATATCCGTAAATCCCCTCTGTTTGAGAGAGTATAGCCATGGGTTCAAGAAGCCCAGTGTGGACTTGCCTTGCTCCAGACGCGCTGCATTCAGTCGAGAGATTATGGCGGCAAAGACAGGCGCCGCAGCACTACAGTTCCAGTCAATCCCGAGTTCGTAACTACGGGAAAAAAGATCTCACCTGGTACCCCCAGTCTTCATCCACTCACCATGATCCCGAAGCACAAAATTATTGGCCTGGGTGGAGACATCAGGGATGCCGCGTCCCAGTGGATTGTAAAGCCCTTCATAGATGTTCCCCAGGCTTTGCAAATAGCTCGTGACATCCGCATCCTGATAGGAGGGTCGAGCGAAGATATCCGAGAAGCCGCCTCCTGAGAAAGATATGGCAGACTCGGGTTCCATCCCTTCCGTACCGCCCACCGACGTGACAAACGGACACGACGCTGGGAAGACGGGCTGGAACCGAGTCCGACGTGTACCATCATGGGTCATACATGTATCTCCAGGCCCCCAATCACCACTGCTGAAGATGACAGATACTCCCCGGGCCCCCAACTGCGCAAAGAGGTTGCAGACAGCCTCTGCGTATGCCGCGGGTACAAATGGCTCTTCTTCCCCGTAGGACGTGCTAAGAACCGCCGGGAGATCTTTGTCAGGGAGGTCAAGGAGGTAGTGCAGTTGCTCGAGATAGGGCTCATTCGTTGAGTCAGCTATAGTCAGCATCCCGGACTCTTGCACCATCGGCCCACGCCCTGCGGTAGTATAGTACACAGCAGACGCGTGGTAGGACAGTGATAGAGCGTATTGGATGTCAAGGGCGGCCTCACTAGACGGACTGAGCGAGTACTGTAGGTTGCGCCCACCATTGATGGACACGACGGAGAATTTGGCATCGGCCTGATTCGGAGCATATTCTGCAAGGAATTGCTCCAGATCGTCATACCGTGCATATTCCTCCAAGAAGCCCGAGACACCCAGCCGGTTGCGTGGGTCGGGTGTTATCTCGGTATCATTGATCCCATAGAGCTGGCGCAGACAAGCGGGAGTCACTGTCCTCGAGCAATTGCCAGCGAGGTCTTCTGCAGTGAGCGCAACAGGCACAAAGGTTTCCGGACTGTCCTGGGCTTGGGGAGATCCGAACCGTGTTGTAGGCTGAATAAGCTTGACAAACGGACGAACATCCTCTGGGACGGAGTATGCGAGCGTTCGGATTGTTGTTGTCTGTGTCCTAGGCTGGTAGAAATAGTTGAATTGCGTTTTCATCATTGACTCGGCCTGCGATAATGGAATAGTGAACGCAAGCCAGTCGCCTCGATCTTCGATGGACTCGGCCGGCACATGTTCCCATTCTAACCATGAACGGACTTTGGCAGCAGCCTCCTCCGAAGGGCGCATAGACGCCCGGAGCTCCTCTCTGGTTAGATGGCGGCCATATTCAGGATGGCCAGGAGTTGACCGCGCTATCACCTGCTCCTCAAACTGAGAGACGTTGGACCTGCGCATCGCCAACCAGAATTTCGTTGGGGTTGATGTTGCCGGACCAGACTGTCGCATCCACCCATCTGGAACATTCTGCAGCTGGTCCACGACAAGGTACCTGTCTGCAGGAATAGCGAGTGTAGCGGTCCCACAAACCAGCATGGGCAAAGCACCAAAGATGATCGGCATAAAACGCGGCCACATCCTTCCGATATAGCATAGAAAGCGCGCGATATAATCGAAGGACTGCACCCACGTGGCTCATTCAAACCCCGGGCCTCACATGGTTTTTGAGTCATCTAGTGGGTGGCCGATCTCTTCTGCCCTTCCGTAAATTCCAAGTGACGATTACAACTAAGCTTTCTTCCGCATGGCGTCCGACCAGAGCTATTCCCTGTCAATTGCATAATAAGCTCAAGCCTCAACCAGAGTCTGGGTCGGTCAGTCCTTCAGCATGGTCAAGTGTATGGAGTCTCTGATTGGGTTTCACCAAGGTTTACGCCGCGGAAACCTTCGACAATAGACACGTTTTCGCTCCGCCAGCCAATCTATTGTTTGGCTTCGAATGTCTCGTCGGCAAAAGTTGTTCGATTTTCTGGATCGCTGTGGTCATTGTGTCTCTGACTGTGATGGCGACCTCTGGGATTGGACTCGCACGCTGACAATGAAGCTTCTGGAAACTGTAGTATGAGGTAGCGACGGATCAGAATGGAGCGTGAGGCCAATCGTTTGCGCCTTTGCCGTGTATTGAACACTGGCTGGGGAACCTTGAAGCTCTATTGAAGACCAGATGGGGCGGAGCCATTGATTGAGACCCGCTTCAAGCGATCCGCTAGTCCTGCTCGGGATCCTGTTATTGCCTCAGGCCAGAAGGTTAGTTGTCGGCCTGAGGTTGATATAGAGTTAAATCTACAAGGATCTTTGTCCCAGTCCCAGTGGTACTGTATCAATTCCCTAACTAGACATGTGAAGCTTTCTGATTCTAGGGAAGCGAAATTACTTGAATCACGGTCACATAGGAGTGATGAGCTGTGGGGTTTGTGTTCTATCAAAACAACTGCTCTTCAGTACAAGGAAGCCATTGTATTTGTATTCGAGCATTTATTGATGATACCCACTCACTGATTTGCCAGGTACCCCAATTTCAAAGACTTTCTGCACTAGTGTGAGCATTCTTCATGGTGACTCTCTGAGGTTCTCTCAATAATCTTCAAGTGAAAGACATGACCGAAATTTTGCTATGACTTGGTTCGCGAAGGGCGAGTATGATTTGGACTCGATTATCAGCACTGCAGCTCAAAACAAGTCGAAGAGCCAGAGACTCTTGATAGGCGCGATCAGTAATCCACCAGACGTTTGCTTGGCAGAGAAGCTCCAACCACAACATTAGGAGCAGCAGCGCCCGTTCATCCCGCTCAAGCAGAAGATTCCGGTATGCTGCAGATATCTTAGGCCCAAATGACAGCAATGAGTTAGTGTCGTGGGCATTTACCTCGTATCGCTGCAGCATGGGAGCGATGACGCTTAAGGGTGCATAATAGGGGTTATTTTCTGGACGGCTACCGGTAGTGACATCACATAGATCTTTCAGCGCACATCGCAGAGTCTGAGACAAAGGCAAATCCTCCCGAGTAGCGGGCGGAACTTCGAACACATGCAGCTTCTGTCTTTCATTTTTCAAGCGCCAGAAGCCTTGCTGCGGGTTCTGTTGCATCATTCTCGCCAAGTAGCCTAGTCCACCTTGTACAGACAGCCAGCTGAGATCCTTGACCCTAGCCGTTGCAGTGGGCTGAAATACCCAAGATTTGTATGGCGATCTCTCATGTGAAGCGAAGGAGATCATGTTTAGGAGAAGCGCGGTGGCATAGACAGTGTCTAGCTTACTCAACACTCTCGGGTGCTGCGCAAGCTCTTCCCTAAGCAAGCGTGTTGCTGTCTGCGTATGAAGCCAGCACGCCTTTTGGTACTCGGTGCTTGCAGGCTGCAGATGCTGCAGATGTCGAGCCGAAAGTGCTAGGAGAGCATTATGAAGCATCGGAATGGATGCGCAGTTGGGTAACAGAAACTGATTGAATATCTCTTTCCCAACTTCAGACGTTAATGTTGCATCAAGGCAGCCGTCAGTATGCCGTAGAAGATATATTGATTTGGGTGTTGGCGAGAGGCCACCAGGAAGCCAGGACTCGTTGAAATTCAAGCGGTTGTTGACATGACTATGATTGCCTACCGCATGGCCTGCCCAGCCAATCTCGTGATCTTCTAAGCTAGCCTGATTGCAGGCAGCATGAGGGTCACCATACACGCACGGCGTCCGGCGCTGGAAGCATTTGCGGCAGCTGGGGCGATTCTCGTCGCATTTGACTCTGCTGCTCTTGCACGCTTGGCAGCCTCCACGGGACTTGGTATGAGACTTTCGAGACAAGCCTCGCTGTTGGGACTGTCTCTTGGGTGCGGAACTAATGCGAAATTTGCTCAATCCGGGCGTGATATCCATCGGGCTTTTGAGGTGACTTAGGCAAGAACTGCGGGCATTGAAACACATACGGATTTAATGGACATACTCAGTATTCCGTTGTCACTCAGTAGCCTAGGTCTCAGCGCTGCAACGGGTACTTCGAGCCTAATCCCAAAAAGGCAATTTTCGTATATCGGAGTGGAGCAGTCATGACATGAGAACTATCAGGACCGAGTCTTTGCTATAAATCCGAGCTTTTGCCCTTCGCAGATATTTGGTTTTCACGAGAGCTTTACTGACCATACTGAATGATAAAATGGTTCGTGTTGCTATCGCCGGAGGCCATGGCGGTGTTGGCCGCACAATTCTGGAGGTGTTGGAGGAATCTTCCAAGCACGAAGCTCTTGTCCTATCCCGCAAGGTTGGATTCACCGCATGTCTTGTTCTTCTTCTTCTTCTTCTTCTTCTTCTTCTAGGTGCATCGTTACTGACAAGGTTGAGTAGTCCGATGGTGATGGCGGCAAAACAATTCAAGTCGACTATAGAAGCGTTGACAACTTGGTTGCTGTGCTGGAAACACATCAGATCGACACAGTGATCTGTTGTTTCGCCGTAGAGGGAGATTCTCTGGCGATATCGCAGTTGAATTTGATTCAAGCTGCCATCAAGTCCAAAGCTACCCGGCGATTTGTTCCCAGTGCCTTCGCCATTCCATATCCTCAGGAGTATGTTCCGCTAGGATGACCCATACTTTTGCATGCCATATAAGCTGATGACTCTTAGTGCCGTGGAGCTTTTGCCGCAACTTGCGGACTACTTCAAAGCGATAGAGATCCTTCAACAGTCTGATCTCCAGTGGACCGTCTTCCTCAATGGCATCTTTCTTGACTACTTCGGGCCATCGACGCTCAAATCATACCTCAAACCGAATGTCTTCGTTATAGATATGAAAAACAAGATAGCAGGAATCCCCGGAGATGGTGAAGTTCCAATCACATTCACCTACACCTTTGACCTGGCCCGGTACGTCGTTTCCATGCTTGACATGGAAGACTGGCCCGAAGAAAGCCGAGTGATCGGCGATACCGTCACCTGGCATGAATTCGTCCGGCTGGCGGAAGAGATCTGTGGTGAGTCTGTTTCTCGCTTTCTCTGAGAGTCCTTTTTAATTTGAGCCACCAGAATATGGATTCGATATTCATTATGACAGCATAGAAAAACTCCGGGGGTTCGAGATAACCGAGTTGCCTGGACATCAAGCCCTGTATCAATATTTCCCGAAGAAAGCCTTCCAGTGGTTCATGTCAATCTTCGAACTGTATACCGCAAATGGCACGTCCTGCATTACGACCCAAGACTCGTTGAATAAGCTCTTCCCCAACATCCAGCCGCTTACTGTGCGAGACATGCTGAACAAATACTGGAGAGATGATTGAAGAGGTCAATGGGCCCATGTGGGTGAGCCACTACGATGGTCGGGTGCGAGCAAATCGATGTGGCCCTTGAACATGATTAGAAGCCGGATTTGTCTCGAAAAGTTGTTTGACGATCCGGGGGAAGCTCAGATTGTTCATTTTTGAGGGACAATGTTGCGCTGATTTGGAATAATTAGTGTCCCTAGATGCAACTAGTAATAGTTTACCCGCTGAGTTTGTAGGCTAACATGTCAGGATCGTGTCATGACTCCATGAGAAAGGGATAGCTGCTTAGGCTGTTCTGCCCAAGGTCGTATGTGTGTGTGTGTGTGTGTGTGTGTGTGTGTGTGTGTGCCAATTAGCACGCTGGACGATTACTTAGGTGTTGGCCGTGGTGGCTGGTGTTTGCACGGAAGCCACCGGGAAATGGGCCTATCCAGTGGGTCTTGCGAGCGGAAAGTGATCCGTCCGCCGCAGTGCTGGGGTCTAGAACGGAGCTGTCAACCCTATTCCGTTCCAGTTCCTCATTCTTCAGGGTGACCGTGATTTGGTTGTAGACATTGACTAGTCGCTCTATCTTCTTCCTACCTTATACTCCGTAGTGTGTGGAACAATATGTTGGATGCGCATCGGACCGTCTAGCTGCATGTTGCATTCCATAACCTGTCATCTGTCACCGGATAAACCAGACTCCAAGGACTTCTGGCGGTTCCAAAGCGGGTCGGTAAGTAGGATGACATTGGATAGTGTAGGGGCCACTAATTGTAGGCCGACCGTACGGACCGTGGGGTCCAAAAAAGAAAATCCACGGCGTGATGTGCCTGAATGAGGACGGATGGCCGAAGATAGACATGTCAGACAGTCAGAGACCAGTGTGCAATGGCGGGGTAGACCGATGCCCTTCTTCCTTCCCTGGGCGAGTCAGCATATTTCTTGTTGACGCACGGCATTACTCCGTACCTAGTAGTTTGTCTTGGACCCCAAAGTCTAGTTCCTTTAAACGAGAAAAACCCCTGAAAATTGGGTAATGCGAGGTATTCTGGTGGTTGGTTCAGCAATTTAGAGAAAAAAAAAGAAAAAAAAAAAAAAAACAGAATGCATGATTCACTTGTCTTCTGAGGGTGGGAAAGGTGCTGTGTGTACTCCGCAAGTGTAGTGTAGAAGGTGGGCTGGCAGGCAAACTTGGCACGGACCGGGAAACAAACCACCACAACTCAGTCAGGCACGGACTTCCTTGTCCTTATCTGCTGCCCCTCTTGACACACCCACATCCACAAACTACTCAGGCATCGTTGATTGCTCGTCTCCCAGTTATGGAGGTATTTTCTTTAAATCGCAATTGTCGGACCCATAAACTTACTGCTAGCTTCATTATTGTTCATCCTCCATAACTCAGCCACACCATTATCAATTTGAGAAACAATACGCCAAACACCTACTGGATCGGTAAGTGTCAAGGGTGTCCTTGAATGCCAGTCTTTCTAATAAATTGATTTATCATCCTTAGCTCATCGAATTAAAAACCAGTACCACTCGGCCATCGCATCAATCTTCTTAACAAGTCTCCTTGCAAAATCATTGAGAATTGATTTTCCCACTAGTTCTCATCTGCATGCATTCACCCACTTATCACCTCCACGAGGATCCGGAGAGTAATGATCGTCTCCGTTCCTCGCAATAGTACCAGTCCATCTAATCCTCTCTTTCAGCTTCATGCTGAGTTCGTTATAATGATCACCGATGTCCTATTGAAAAGGACTACTACCGCTTCTGTATTAGTCCAACCGACCGTCTAACGACAACACCAGCCTGTGAGGCTGGGGCGCTTGCAGCCCGTGCCATTAGCGGGCCTGAAGGCAACGGACAAACCACATGTAAGACAGACACGCAGCCTCGCATATCCATAAGCTGGAACCCCGACTAGACCATCTGCCAATTCGACTACCGCAAACTGGAGCTGCACCACCTACATAAGGCACTTTTTGGCTCTAGCACTCTTTGCGATTCGTCCTAATCGGTCCCGGTCACCTGGCAGAGAGTGGGCAACGGCTGCTGCACTCTGTCGCTCAGTCTGTCGGTCTCTTGTGCTTCTTACTTTCTACTTTCACTCACACTCCTCTGCCTCTTTGCTATTTTTTCCGCCCTCCACCAACCCTGCCCGAGTGCCCTCCTACTACGCCTGGCCCTCGATGATCTGATCTCAGCTTCTGGCCCTCATTTCCGCTCTCTACTTCGTCTTCATCTTCTACCCTAGCCGCTTGTGAACCCGTTCCCCTCGAATTCGACTTGACTTGCTCGCTCTTATGTCCGAGGCTTGTCACCCCTGTTTCCTCCATGTCACATCCACTGGTGGCAGCCGTGTGGGAACAGCTAGGGCGCCGTGATCTAACAAATATCCTTCGCGAAATTATCGGCGAACATGTGCTAGACATCGCGGTATCTCAGCCGGACGGCCAATCCGCCTCCATCGAACCACTAACCCGAACGGTTTTCTGGATTAAGACCATCTTCGATGCGCAACGAACCTACCTTCAGGGCCTGGCAAGTGTCCACGAATGCCACCCCTACTTCCTTCCTTACCTACTGCCATCGGAGACGGTCTTCTCGACATTGATGTACCTGCTGAAGGTGAAGCTAGAGCTTTTCCCTTGCAATCGACCAATCGATCCAGAACTCGTCGGCTACCGACATCTCATCGCGCATACCCTACTCGCTGGTACCCGAGTCCTACTGCTGCGCGGAGAACCCATTAACACCGATAAGAAGTTTCGGTTCGAAAAAGCGATGCGAGCTGCCTGGCGGAACTCGGACCTTTCAAATGTTGAGCGGTTCCTCATTAGTGATCTCCTCCCCAAAGCAATCGACGCTATCGGCTCGACTGAGCTGTCAGCGCCCCAGACTCTTACAATCAATCGTGGAAAACCCTATCTGCCGTCGTTCGCCGCAGGGCTGGTAAGTGCGCCTATTCGACTGCTATTCTGGTTCCAAAAAGAGGCTCACGGCGTCTACAGTATCCAGTTTCGGGAGCGCCGGAGACCCTAATCACAGACCTCCTGACAGGATTAATGAAAAATAATGCCGACCAACTGGTTTCCTTCAATTTGCTTCTCGACGTCCTCTGGGCAGTAGATTCTGCCCTCATCCAGTGTCACATAGATCGCCGTCGAATTTCCCAAGAGCAAGGATATACGAGTTCCGCAGCGCTGAAGGTAGACGAGGCCTTCAAACAAGCACAAGAAGTCAAGAAGAAGTTGACTCGAACGGTACTGGCGGCCTACGATGATGAATTCAATACGGCGCCGCTTCAGGTATTCGCCACCACTATTCTGACGCAGACGGCCGATGATGCTCCTCCGCTACAAACACGAAGGATCCGAGATACTTGGTCGCAGCTCGCCCGCATTCGGGAATCATGGGAACGGGCCCTGGGCCAATTCGTTCGGTGGCTCATCAACCGGCGGGTACAGATGTGGGATTGCAATGGTGAACTCGAAGCATTTTCGCACGACTATCAACAGCATTTGACCCAATGGTTGCAAAACTCATCGGCAGCCGACTTTGACCCCACGGCACCGATCAAAAAAGGCCGTTCTAGCACGGCAGTCTACGTTGTCAACTGCCCTGCGGTGCACCCTGTGCCGGGCGCAATGTTGGAAGAACAATTGAGAAGCTATGATCGAAAGGCTTATGAGGTATGCTATGCACCTAACAATCGAGGCTAGGGCTAGACACAGATGCTAATATTTTCGTTAGCAATTCCAAGGAAACCCCGAATTTCTGACAATGGATGTCACATGCCCCCTATGTCCTGGCAAAGCCCGTATCCAACATGCTCGTATGATAGAGCCTCTCGAACAGGTTTCTGACGCCCTACACCTCTTCTCGGACTCGGACGGTGAGGGACAGCCGTCCCTTCCAGACTCTGCTTCTCGAGCGACCACTTCATGTTCGAGCTCGCTCAGCCATTCTACAAGTCACTCATCCCGTCTTGACTCGATGGAAATAGTGAAAAGTCCGACCTCACCAACAACTCCTGTGACAGCTGTTTCGAAAGCAAATGGCAAGACTCCTAGTGTCACGACGTCAGAAATCTTCAACCCCGTTTTGTCTCGAAGTCGAACCGACCAGTCCTTTGACAAACAAGCAATCAAGACGCTTTCCCGTGATCTCAAGAATGTGAAGATACCTTTCTCGAGCGGGACTTCACTTTTCCGAAGAAACTCCTCGAAAGGGCAGCAGTTACCTCGTCAACCCCGGTTTTGTTTCTCAGCTACCGGGAGCTGCCTGCTCTTCTGGGGTGCCGGAAGTAACTGGGTTATGCGATTTGAACTAGGCCAGGGCGAGGGCAAAAAACCAAAGAGTCACAAGTATGATATTCCGGGCGTGCAACAGGCTGCAGCAGGAGATCAACGATGTGCCGTCATCGCTTCAGTAGGACAGGTAAGTAACTCGCATCATTAAACTCGAGCCAGTGCTGACAGGGACACAGCATTACGAGCTCCTTGTATTTGAAAACGAAAGTGATATCCCAGAAGCATACTTGACGATTGAGACTGACCATCAATCATTACCAATAAGTTGTATGGTCATGTCTCGTAACGATAGATATGTTGCCTTCACACTCAAAGACCAAGTTCGCGTATATGAGATTTGCACCAGGACTATCCAGAGAGTCTCCCTCGGCAGTGGGATGGATCGTGTTTCGGACTTGGGCAATCGATCCTTGATGGGCTCATTTTCTGGTGCTAAAGAGTCTGGCTTCGAGGCCCATCTACAAGAGGCTGTGATTGAAAGGAAGCTTCAGTTCTCTGCCGATGGCAAACACTTTGTGATCGCTACCCATCTGGGTGATCACTATGCTTATGTTGATGTCTGGAACTGCACGTTCCAGCAATGGAATATAGTCCCCGATAGCTCCAAATCCTTCAAGCTTCCTCCTGTGCGTCTGCCCGTTTAATCCTATGACCTCTCGCATTTCACGGCTTACTGACAACTACCAGTGGACGACGAATGATGGGGATTTGACCGGCGTGTACTACGATAGCTCTCATCATGCGGTATTATTGACCGCATTCTTCGGCAAGGAATATCCCTTGTCATTTTCCATGACAGACAACAAAATCACCAATGATCCGTTCAGTACACGAATCGTACATGCAGCACAGTCACCATCCGGCTCTCGCTTTCTAATCGCGAATGGCATGTGCGATATCTATCTATGCGATGCGAAGGCCTCTGGTGGTCTTAATCGTTCCCGATTGAAAAAGGCATCGTACAAGATGAATCCAGCGGTATTTCGGCCCGGACAGCTCGCACTGGCGTTTCCCCAGGAGTATGAAATGCTAGCCTTCTGGGTGAAGACGGGTAAGTTGATGCTGAGGACCGTACGGATGCAAGGGAGCATTGAAAGTGTCAGTGATTATGACCTGCGACCCGACTACGATCGGCTGGTAGTCGAAAGACCGCCTGTTGCCGACTTTCAAACACAACGCAGACGGCATTCACTATTGTCGCATGAATTGGTGGCGGAGATCGATGGCCTACCTTCAATACCTCGGCCAGACCTACCTGAGCTGTCATCCACATAGGGAAAGATTGACAGAGGGTGAGGTCTGAGTTCGGGGATTCTGTACGTTCTATGATGTCGGCGTTGGGTATCCGATCTCTAGCGCTGCAGACAGCGTATGTACTTATGTGTGATGAGATAAAATATACAATAACTAATCAAAATAACTAACGTGAACATACACAACATACAGCATTCAATGCATGCCACCTTGCTACCTACCTTGCTACCTGGTCGTAGATGAGTGGTGGCCTGACTTTGACCCAGGCACCATGACCCCAAAGGGGGATAGTGCGGGGAAGCGGAGAAGTTTATCGCCGGGCCCCGATTGTAAGCGACGTCACCACCTGGTCTTCTCCTCATCAGACAACGAGCAAGACACCCTGGAAGGAAAGTTAATGCTCCAGCTGCACTAGGACATCAGGATAGTCACTCAGAGCTTCCGTGTGGTGCATACAATATCCTTTGAAGTCGGATCTGGGTGGGTTGTTACTATCTTATTCCATTTGCTCTGAGTAGCCTGAGCTGTCCCCTCAGATTGCCACTAGTGGATCGCGCCGGCTGATCGACCCCGGCCATGAAAAACGCCCCGGTCGAGGTGGACTGACTTAGCTGCCTGCCATTCGCATAGGCCTCCTGGAACTGACAATATTCCCTTGATTCTAGACTCTTATCCTCTGTGTTGAACCTGGGCGAAATACCTTCGTTCCCCCCGTGAAAGTGCGTTGAAAAAGCGACCCTTCAACCTCCATATCCTAAACCGGCTTGGGAAACAGAAGATCGGTCGACGTCATCAATACATTTCTTCTTTCGGTCTCCAATTCCTCCTACGAGAATCTCCCCCTCTGTCAATCTGCAACCCTCGGTCTCCCTTCCCCTTTCTTCCTCTGTTCCTTTCCTCCTTTTCTTCCATCCTCCCTTGCCATCGATCGTACCTCCGTATTCACCATGTCTATGCCTGATTTCGATCCCTCTCGACGGCCCTCTCAGGCCGAGAACCAGACGATCCTCAAGTCCGAGATACCATTGAAGGAGCGGTTTTTCCGCTATTTTCAACATGAAATCACCGGTATGGCTTAACCGATCTAATTGAGGTCCTGCGAATTGGCCTTCTGGCAAGGGGAGAGAGTCTGACACATGTGCTTGCTGCAGCCCTTCAGGAACAGATGGATCGGTTGTCGGATACATCCCTGATAGGGGGAGAGCGGGCAGATGCAACCGATCACTGTCTGGCCGGCATTGCGCGCTTGTCCAATGAAGTCAAAGATGCGGCTAGCTACATTCCCACCTACGATCAGCGGATATACGCAGAGGTAAGCTATTGCTTTATGTCGATGGTGAAAGTGCAAGGCTGATCGACGATTGTATACAGGCTATCAAAGCGCTGCAGGACAAACTAGTCGAAACCCGGGCTGCTGTGGAACCGCGCCCCAAGTTCAGTTTCAAGACTAAGAAGAATGCCTCGGCTATCTCTCTCTCTGATGCGGCACAAATGGCTGCGCAGGTACGCAGTATCCCCGGATTCGCCTCGCCCGGCTCGTCTTCCGTGGGCTCGTCCGCCGCCCAAACCCCAATGTATCCGTCAACTCCGCTCAATGAGCCCGACAATCGGCTTCATCTTCTACAACGGCCGGAGATTGCCCCCACATCAATTCCAGCTATCCCGGTCGACGAGGGGGCGGATGATAAGCTCAAGCCACCGGAGCAGCCCCATGGCTTTGCAGCCACCGCTATTACCTCCGTGTCAGTGAATAACCATCACAACCTCCACATCATGCTGCCATCCTCAGGGTCTACCGCCAACGTACCCGCATCTATCACCTCGCTGCGCCATTGCGTGGTCGACATGTCAATACCGACCGTCAACGGCAAACCTTACGCTAGTCTCACCGCAAAGAATGTGAAGGAGAGCCTTCTGGTCTGCGGACAGATCAATGGTCCCGCTCACATCACCGACGTGGAGCATAGTATTATCGTGGTGGATTGTCGCCAATTCCGTATGCATAATTGCTCCAACGTGGACGTCTACCTGAGTGCGTCCAGCAATCCTATCATTGAAGACTGCACCAACATCCGATTTGGTCGCATACCCCGCATCTACGTGAGTATTTCCAGAGCACTGTCCTTGCTGTAAACAATTGTAAACAATACTCTAACCACCTTCGACAAACAGACTTTGAACCACGATCGCCCCGACGATGAAGACCGCTGGAGCGAGGTCGAGGACTTCAAATGGATCAAGCCCGAGCCAAGCCCTAATTGGAGCCTGCTCGATCCCGAGGATGCGGTTCCGGAAGAGGTTTGGGCGGAGATTGTGCCCGGAGGCCCCGGCTGGTCTTTGGAGGATATTCTGCGTGCCATCAACATCTCAAAGGTTTAAGTTACTGGGGCGTGGGCGTGGATCGTGAAAGAATCAGGAGCGTGAGGCGTCGGGGAAATTTATGGAAAGTCCTTTTTCGTTCGCATCTGACATTTGGTTCTATTGCATGAACTCTTTTTCATGGAGAGGTTGATACATACAAGGGAAGAAATTTGGCGCCCTGGACAAGCACTGCGCTTCTCGCAGAGAATGACGACGGTGGATTTTGCATCATCTGTCATTTGGTGTGGTGATCAGCATGGTTGCTTGCTTGCTTGCTTGCTGCTTTTCCTGCTGGCCTTAGTGCTGATATCTGATATCTCTGCATGAGACTTCCATTTACTCTCCAATTCTAATCTCACCCACATTTTACTTGTTTTATGGGTTACGGCATCTGTGGTGATATATGACCGGTTCCTATATCTGAGGCATTGGGGTTTACGCCCCAAGCGACTGGGTTGTGTGCTACCAAGTGAAGCGCTCGTCTGCAGCCACCGCGTGATACTTTCGATCAATGATGCAAATACAGCTTCTATGCTAATATTACATGCAGGACAAGGCGGTATACATGACACACCACAAGCCAAATGCTTGACTATCTGACATTCGTCTTCTGCGAGATTGCCTTAGGATGGGACGGTGAGGAGGGAGTACAGTACAGTACTTAAGCCCTTCGCAGGTCTTGTTGTCCATATTTCTGAATTCGCCGATTTGAACTTTCTGGAATAGCTGCGATACTACACTTGAATAAGAACAATAGATGGACTCCTTACTCTGTTCTACGGTGCAGGGAGATGGATGATAGTTGTCTCGATGGTATACTTATACTTGATAGCAAAACTCTAGGTGAATATAGCAGTAGATTGTTTTCGGAAATTTTACAGCGGAACTTGAATACTTTGAAGATACTATTGTTTACCTAGTACATAGACCTTGCTTTTGCACTTTGTACTAAGAGTAATCATTGCCTCTTTGGTTCAAGGTATTCACATGTTGTGTTTAGTGAGTAATAGAAAATTGTAATCTCCATTCAGTCCCAAAATATTCAAGAAGTTTTACATCAGTTGCATTCACAATAGAATGATTCACTAATTGAGCTTGCACCTGACAGATGAATTCCCCTTGCAACCCTATTCACCAACAATGCAGCCATCCGCCACAGTGCCTTGATTAGAGATCCTTGCCTTGACCGACGTTTCTCCTGCTGAAGTAAAGATCTGGAAGATCTTAGCCAGAATGTATTCAGGATGTCATTTAGGATGTCATCTCAGCCCGTCTCCGACAACAGGGAGACGTCAGCCAATGCCTCTCCTTCAAGCAGATCACCGCTTCACGCTTCCAATACATTGATCATAACAGAAACCGGCTTGGGGCCACCGTGAGGTTCACCTATCTTGCCGACATGGACACCCTCATCATCAAAGCCGTCACGCACGAGCCGGAGGCGGCCCACCGCAGGATCGGGCAGATACTTGGGATCTTGTTTCCATTTACACCGTGCGGGTCAACGAGAGATGTCAGCCCCACAACATCGGAGGAAGAGGCAGATAGTTCTTGGATCAACTTGGGCAGGTGCAATTGGTGATGTTGCTCGAGGTTTCACGATCCCCGAAGGAAATTCGGATCGAGAAATACTTCCCCAAGTCCTGGGCACTTACTAGGGCACAACACACAACAGGCCGGGACGGGGCCTAGTGATATCTCAGACTTGATAACCTCAACCCTGATCCAGTACCACGCAGCCCCCGCTCGGTAGATTGGACCGTGCCTCTTATCCTGGAATTCTCGCGCATTCTAGGAAGACCCCCGGTCGCCCCCGAACATGACATTGTGATTGGGGCTCCAGAACTGATTGAACTAGCCCAGATGACTCTTCGATGTTAATGTGACAAGCACCACTTCAAATTGAGGGTATCTTCGAAGCAAACACAAGTAGAGGATTGGTCGAGGCGCCAGTTCCGGCCTCAAGAGGTTGGGGGGAGTGGTCGGTTCTGTTGACACCTGCGAGAGAGGTTGAAGACGTGTGTATTTTGCCTCAAGAAGGCTATTCGCGGAACTAGCTAAGAGCCACCGAGGCGCTGTCGAGTTCAAGTGACAGCCGAGCCACGACCAGAAGTTACTGGCCCTAGGACGGAGTCAAATTGCCTTGCGCGCTTTTCTAGGGCATAGCAAGGGCCGGTCATGGATTGATAGGGGGATGGGGAAGTGGGAGGAGATACAAGTCGGAGGAGGAGAAGGACGCCGGATCTTGTGGATGATGCAATTCAGTAGTCTTTCTCATTCTGTTGGTGTTGATCATCATAATAATGATGTTGGATGCTTTGATCTAGATCTATCACATATTATCCAGGTGCCGTAACACCAGGCCTTCGAATCCCCGCCAAGTGTCTGACAGATCAAATATTTAATAGATGTAGTTGCAACCAGAGTTCGCTTAGTGCTTACTCTTTGTTCTCACTGTTGTTGATCTTTTTCTCCTGAGTTCTTCCACCCTGTTCTCCAATTCTTCTACCCTGTGTAATGGTGTGGTCTCTCAATGATAAATAAACCCCCCGGCGCATGGCATCAACCATAATGACCCCATGCATCTCCAAGTGCTCATCAGCCCAGCCCCAGAGCCACCCTTCAAAGGCACAAAGCCCCCAGGCCCCAAAACCATAATCCGGTCCTGTAGTCATATAGCCTTACAAAGAGGCGGGTGCTGAAAGAGGCGGGTGTGTAAGGATCCTATAAGGGGTGGTCGGCAAGGCTTCTAAAAGTGCCGGCAGAATTGGGGTCATTGCAAATTGGCACGAGTAGCCCACCGCACCTCCTTTTGCCTCGAGCCTTCTAGTCATTGATCCTTAGATACTGACAAGGATCAATGACGCACCATTGAATACTCAGAAATCGCCTCCTGAGAGACTTTCTACACCCACGACAGAGAGAGACTATATGGACTGGCTCAGAATATCTATAAAGTTTATATTAAATGCCTAGTTCAATGATAGCAATCATAAATGATGATTACTTGAGTTCTATGTATAATTGTAAATAAGAAGCGATGATAGATTCTACCATACAGCTTTAGTCATATTTACCTCTGCTAACATCAAACAACTTTCTGCAGCCGGGTAATTCTATGTAAACCCACATAATTTCAATGCATCCATGACCGCAAACTCAGGAGCCGCTAACAAGCTCATTGTTACAGTGAGCATACAGTGTGTGCTCTAGAGGTCATGATATAAGTGTCTGGGTGGCAAATAGCTACTGCTGATAATGGTACTGGATATGACGTAGTATTGTCACGCCCACGCCTGGCTCTGCATACTCAATCTTCTTAATGCTCCAAGGCAAATAACCCTTCCGTAGGGCCGCCCAATCTCTGCATATCACTCATTATGTCCGTGTTCCGAACGTCATACCTGGAAAGGGCAAACCAGGTGGTAGTTGTGTTGGGACTGGTGTTGAGCACCAGTTGTCTGGTGATGCGGATTTACACAAAGACTGCTGTAATGAAGAGATTCTGGTGGGATGACGGTACGAATTCTAGGACCCCCCCTTTTGGCTCGTGCTGCATCTGCGTCCCTCGAATACAGAACATGGCGCTTATGAATGTAGTTTTCATCATTGTGGCCTGGGTAAAACCCCTCAATCCCAAGATTCGGTCCTAATTCTCACGGCTTACCTATATCGTTCACAAAAGACATTTGCTGCTGCCATCCAAGCGACCTTACTTTGTACGAGTGGCACCGCGCATCAATCAAACAGGTTTCGAGCTAATTAGGACTGCTGTAGATGGATTCAGCCACGCTGGGGTCGGCATCCACATGACAGAGTTGTCTCCCTCGACCCTGGTAGCTTTACAAAAGGTATAGCTCCCATGCGTGTGCAGCTGCCGTCCACCGTCCACTTCCAAGAAGGTGCACAGCTTACGCTAAGGCATTGATTCTGGCCCTATCCGACATTGAGACTGTTATAACCGCCTCAATTGTTTACCTCCCTTGTCTCGCATTCGCAAAGCTCGCCTTGCTTATGCTGTACTATAGACTCCTGTACACAGTCAAAGCGTGGGTATACACACTCTATCTCGTGGGATTTGTGGTTGTTGGATACACGATAGCACTAACTGTGGTGCTCATCTTTCCCTGTGACCCCATCGAGAAGAACTGGAATCCGTTGATTCTCGAAGGGTCTTGCATTGATCGAAACGGTGCATACCTCGCGACCGCCGCCGCGAATACTGCCAGCGATATTGTATTGCTACTGATTCCCATTCGAGTGATCTCGAAGCTTCAAATGCCGCTGATGGAGAAGTTGGGTGCCTTTCTCATGTTTGGCATTGGTTCTCTGTGAGCAAAGCCCGGCTTGTTCCCTTCTTACCGCGTTCGGACTGCAACGGCGGCGGCACGAGTATCTCGGAACCCTTAGGGTTTGGTTGGCTGGTAAAGTCTTTGGGTCTTTGGATGACTGAAACATATATTGCAGGACGATTATCATGAGTATCGTGCGGCTGGCGACCCTATGGCCACTGATCACTTCTCAAGATTTTTCGTACCACCTCGCCCTCGTCTGTACATTCGTGTGAGTGTGGTCTTTGCCCTCTCATCATCCATGTTTCTGTGAGAAATGAGAAACCGAGAAACCGCAATTAACTGTAATGGACCATATCGTCCACACCAAGCGGATAGCAACATTGAAGCGAATCTCATCATATTATGTGCCTGTCTACCCTTTTTGCGCCAGCTCATTCGCCATTTTGCACCGCAGTGGACACCGCGGGGGCGGCACTCCCGGAATCCTCGAAGCTCGTCGTCGACTTCAACTCCGGGCAGAATCTTGCGGGGTGGACCTCGAGCTGATGCCGTTGTGGCGGATCTTGAGATCTCGAGTCTAAGTCAGGCCACGGTGCAGGAAGGCTTTTGGCACACAGAGGGTTCTTGATGTTGACCCGGCCTGCGGAGGCTTCCTGAAGTGCCTGGTCCTGGACCATAATAGAAAACAGGCTTAGGGATAGAGCCATTACAATATTTAATCAAATTCATGCCTGGCATAAAGCTGAAGTAGAGCATCTACGCCATGGGTATCTATCTATCTTGCTGGGATCTCTCTAAGATTGTATTATCACGTATTTGGAGCTATTGAAAGTCAAGACATTCATCTGGGTATGAGTCCTCTACATCGATGGGATCTGGCCGGGTCAGAGAAGGTGCTTGGTCCCGAGCATCCTGGTCCTCTTACCAGTATACGTAACCTTGCCAAGGATTTGGAAAAGGTCTCTGCTGCCTGGAACCTTCTTAGGAAATATACAGACCACTGTAATCATATATTAGGCTCGCATTATCTACAAGCTATATTCTTGACTCGCTTACCGAATACGTTAAGTAGTATCGTCGCTAATCTCCTGTGAGGAAAGACATAACTGAGGGACCTAGTGGTACTATGGCTTTGACTGGAAACAAACATCGAGGGCTCGGAATCTGGTCGCTCTATGTTCCTTCCTGTTAACACACCTATTAACTTCTGGGAGAGGCTCGGGTGATAAATTGACATAGATTACTTATACTACAGTGTCTTTAGGATAATTACCATAAAGAAAAGTCATGACAAGTCATCAACGGATATAGATCCAAGTGTGCAATTTCAAATCTCAACTATTTCCGTAACTAGTATGAGAGAGAGTAATAAGAGACGTGACAAATCTCGGATGTATGATACAACCACTTAGGAAAGAAAAGAACGAAGATAACAGGCTAGAAAGGCTAGATGGATATGTCCCTGGACTTGCGTAAGCAAGCAGATGAATAGAGAAGAGAAAAGACAGAAATGCTCATTCTTTTTTTTTTAGAAGTCAACCCCGAAAACCCAAGGCGGAGATCTAGAATTGAGGCATGCCGCCTTGATTGAAGGTCGGGAACATGCTCTCATCGGTACCAGTCCCAGTGCCGAAAGTGTCTATGAACACGTTGTTCATATAAGGGTCGTCACACAAGGCTTCAATGGCACTCATATCGACTGGTCCCGGCTGGTACATGGGGTCGGTGTAGCCGAAGGAAGCGTCTTCAAAGAAGCCAGACGTTCCGTTGTTGAACGTGGCAAAGTCGTTGGCAAAGTCGTTGTCCATGTACAAGAGGCAGTCCTCGTTCTTCAATTGCGTGAAAGGGTCTTGAAGCTGGAACATCTGGCTTTGTGCATAAGTGTTCAAAAACCCAGTCGGCGACTGGATCGGGCCTGATGCGGGAGTGCTTGCTTGAGTGTGGCTCGCTTGCGCCGGACTGAGTTGGCCGGAGCTGATGGGAGCAGGGCTCAGTTGCACAGAGTGCATCTGGTTAGATGGACTATAATGCTCCGAGGTGTAGCGCTCAGGGCTGTAGTTCTCAGGGCTGTAGTTCTCCGGGCTGTAGTGCTCTGGAGTCATTTGCAGGGAATCCAGGTGGTCCGGAATCATTGGAAGTGAGCTCATGTGGTCAGGGCTCATCTGCAGAGGGGTCATCTGAGACGGTGCCAGATTGACGGAGCTAGCTTGGCCGGGACTCAGTTGCTGCGGGCTGGGCTGGGCGACACTGTCTTGAGCAGGGCTGGCTTGTACCGGTGAGGGACGACGCTTGGCATTGCGTCCATTGTTCTTCGCGCGCACATAGTTCCATCCATGGGCTTTCTCCATGTGCTGCTTGCAGTTACTCTCGCGCTTGGACTTGTACGAGCAACCATTGAAAGTGCAGGCATACATGCGAGGAGTGGAAGAGTGGCGATCATTAATATGGCGCTCGTTTTCCTTCTCGGTGGGCCAGCCAAGCTCGTAATACTTGCATCCTTCGAAGGGGCATTTGAAAGGCCGTGAATGAGTCTTTTCGTGTTTGCTAGATATCAAGTCAGCGACCACAATCTGCATGCAAATAGTATCGACACTCACGTCAAATCACAAGGTCTTTGGAAGATTTTATCGCAGTGGGAGCATTTTGTATTGATGTTCATGGGAGGGGCGTTCTTCTTGCGCCGAGCCATAGACCGCCTAGCGCCCTCATCAGTGGCTCCCAGACTCAAAGTTCGCTTCACCATAGGAACGGCAAGCGCGTCGTAGGGTTTCCCGCTCTCCAGTGAAATCATTTCGCCATCTTTTTCGACAACGAGCTCAAGTGGACGCCCTGTCTCGGCCATACCACCCTCCACAACAAGCTTCGGCCTAGCATGGGTTAGTCATACGTTAATTTGCTCGATTGGAGGCACACTCACATTTCCTCCTTGTTCTTACGAGCCTCATCCCTCATGGCTTTGAAACGGTGGACTTGAGCGGTCAGATCGAGGAAGTAAGAGTTGCTGTAGGGGCGATCGGCTGGCATGCACAAGTCACGAGGGTCAACAGTGGTGTAGGTCTCATGCAAACACAAGATGGTTGAGTTGCAGAATTGATAGTAAAAGCTGAGTTCGGCCTCGACATCCTGGACGGCGACATTAGCGTAAGCGTTGATCCCGGAACCAAGGTGCAGGAGACTTACTGCAGCTACGTAGAGCAGCGCCTTCTCAAGATCACGCAGAGTCCTAAACTTATCGCTTTCCATTTGTTGACGAGCACCCTCCACGATATGACGAAAGGGCTTGCATGGCTCCATTCCCAGAAGAGGTTTCAAGATGCGGTTCTCAATTTCCAGGCATGACGCAGGGCTGAGCTTCTGCTTGAGTACAGCCTCATCTTCGGCAGGATGAAAGGAGCTTAGGACGGCAGACAGTGTCTGGGATTTGGAGGCCGATTTGCCAGCTTTCTCTGTATGACTGGTTAGGTATGTCCCAAAGCCAAATATGATGGACGATAGCAACCAACCTTGTTTAGAAGACGTGGACTGACGGCTGCTGATCGAAGTTCCTAGCCCACTATCGGAAGCGTGGCAGTGTGTCCTTCGGTTCTTCTTCGCAAATCGTTTGTCGAGATCTTCCTTGCTTAACTTCAACCGCTGAAAATGGGCCTCCAAACTATCATTGGAATCAGAAGATTCATCTTCTTCGTCGAACCGGCCACGCGTACGGAAAGAACCACTTTCGATGCGACCCAAGATCTTAGACATGCGTTCCTGACCGGCTGCGATAGCCTCGAGAGCTCCGGGACTAGTCGGAGAGCGAGGCAAAAGCGGGAGATTGAGGAGCAGGCCGTCTGAAGGCGAAGAGGTAGTGTAATGAAAGGTGTCCCCCTTCTTCATACGAAGACGGGTCCGAGAAGCTGACGGTGTCTCTGAAGAGGCGAGCAGAGACGGAGGAGGTGAGTTGATAACCCGCCCACGACGGGGATGTCGGGACGTCATAGTCTCGGAGGTCGACATTATCGTTGACGGGTGAACGGTTGGAGAAAATCAAGATGTTGTTGTGAGGTATGAATACTTCTAAGGAGTTAAACCACGTCACTCGTACCCCATCACTATCCAGACTCACTGTTTATGCCTGGATAGAATTGCGAGTCGGAACTGCGATGCGACCGCAGTGACGTATGAAGCCAAAGCGGAGATCAATGAGGTATTACTGGAGGGATGTTAGTTGCTGAAGCCATTTCACCAGAATAAAAGCATAAACAGTCACGCACCTGTCGAGAAACGTCAGGTTTACGGAGGTCTCATAAAAGGGAGGGAGAGGGGGATGATGGAATGCCCCAGGCTGATAATGGAAATCAAGCAAGCACCACCCCTTTCCAGAGTTCACAAAACGGGACCAACAACACAAGCAAAACAACAAAAGTGGTGGTGACAGGTAAATGTGGATTTTCAGGTATACGATTCTAGTTTAGGAGAGGATAGGCTGACAGTTTTGGGGGGGGGGGAGAGTGGACGAAGGAGGAATGATAGCGGAGATGAAGTGGAAAGAGAGAGTAACGAAGTAGACGACTCAAATCGAGGAACGGGGTACGTACAAGGAGTAGACGGAAAGACGGAGAGTAAGAATGAGGCTGTTTCCACCGGGCTGAGTCTCAGTCCGCGTCTTCTTGGATGTCTGCCTGATAGACGAGCCAGACCATACTCGAAGAGGAAAGGTGCCTGGAGTCTCCTCATGAACAGTAAGTGATTGGCTGCGAGGGGGGGCTTGGATCTCCTCCACAGCCACGGCACTCGTTTCGGCCGGAGTTACTCGGTAACGGCTCATACTGTCTAGGCATACTCTTTTTCTATGTATAGTGACATGTGACTGTGAAATATAACCACTGAGATACCTGTATTCTACGTATTCCAGTTGAGGTCGGGGTTTCGGGGCGGTTTAGTCCCGTCCACGTTAGGTTTATCCCATCCACCTGCACTTTTCCCAGTTGACCATTCAGGGGGCCCAGAATATTCTCTCATGCTCTCCTGGGCGGGCTCCCGCGGAAGCCGGCTTTTCCGAAAATAGTCTGCGGACCCTCGACCCTCGAGTGACCCCATCCAGCGATCTTGCCTGTGGCTTTTCCTCTTTGGCTCTTCTCCTTACCGTTTCTGCTTCTCTCGCCAAGTCTCCAGCAGGTTTGTTACTCTATCACGTTAGTGCAAGCGTGAGAGATGGACGGGGCAGCAGTTCTTTCTGCCAAGGGGGCTCTTCTCCACCGTCCGTTGCATACCCATGAAAAAGGAACCAATTCAGTGGTCATTCAAAATCATAATAATGACACAGATTCACCAGTGCTACTCGTATGCAACACACTGCGAGTCCGACTAACGCTTCCAAGTTCAAAACTCCTTCAGACGATCTGGTGCGCATCATATGACGGAATGGTAAATGAGTTAACGCTCAATCTCTGTCAGCGGCATCCTGTTCATTCCCAATTTCCCCATTAAATTTAGCCCTTGGGCGCTCTCTGATAGCGCGCGGCCCAGTCTGGTCAGACTAAGGCCCCTGGGACTGCCGGGGATGCATCGAGCGACCGTTGCGCAGCGCCCTAGTCTAGGGTGAGAAGATCATCTGGAATTTTCGGTCTTTTATTTCTGGTACGGGTGAGTTCTTTTCCTTCTAACCAGTGGGAACTGAAAGAGGTGAGTGCGGTGGGTTTGGAACAAAATTCCCAACCCGTTTTGAGTTATCGAGGCCGAGAGAACCAAACAAGCAACGAGTTTCTCCACGTCAGCCTTATCACCTGGTCGGAGGTGTCATCATTGCAGGTCCGGCATTTTAAGGGCTGTCAACCCGACCACGTTGAACTTGAGGACTGAATGCATCGCATCGCTTCAATGAAAGAAGTGAGCACCTTGCTCTATTCTATTGCAATGCAGGCCATCAAGTTAGATGTTGTCCGGAGACTCAATAGTAATCCGTACCTAAAAGTCAATTTGATTCACCTTCTGAGCACCACGATTCCCACAAATGCCACCTCACCAGGATGTACTGTACCTCGAGCCTCAAATAACGGGAAGCCACCTACGCACAAAAAGACTGCAGCCCTGGAGTCGTTCTCCTGTATGAGCCTCATTGCAGTGACGACGGCCTGCATGAGATCAGTCCGCCGCGCAAGCTGTCAAGGCTACAACATTTCACTGCGAACGCATTGGTTCAATTGGCGCTCACGTTGCAACAACAGAAGATCTTATCAGACCCTTCGGTCCCGCGTATACTAACTATTCTGTACTCCGTAATCCGCTTATATATCTATTTTCGGGTCGTTGCCTTTCGTATTACTCCGTACTTGATCCAGATTTGGGTACTGGCTTGGTTGGTCTGTAGCTCTGCAAATCATGGTGAAGTGGTATGCTTAGCAGGTTGCTAGTTCGAGTGAGGAGAGGTACTGTAGCTACATAGTTTGATGGCTAAGTACACTCCATGAGGTAGCCGTGTCAGAGACGAATCAATCGTCAAGCTCATTGGCTTATAAGTATATGCTTCAGTCAATATGGCAAAACAGAGCACCTTCGTGATCCATTGCAGCACCATTCTCAAATGAGATAGATTATCTCGGCGTTGTGCGGATTTCTATGGTCGGTTCTGCAGAAGGTCCTGAATGGCATCATTATATATTTAACTTCAGATGCCCGAATTGTTGTTCTACACGCAGTGAGCCCCAGCCATTGCTTAGGAATCATATATCTGTTGCCATGTTGATGTAACATGCTAAGCCAGAAGCTCATTTTGTACGCAGTACTTTACACCATAGGCATATGGCAAGGGTTCATTCCCCAAAAGTGAGGAAACCTCCTCGTGCAGTGAACCTCGGCATCGGGAAAGGGCAGAACGAGAGCGGGCGGTGCCGAGCTTTGGACGGCCTCGTTGTCTTCCTCCCCGGACTTTCTCCAGCTTCCCGCCAGCCATTATCTTGCTGCTGCACCAACTATCTAAGCTCGGGGTTGTCTTACCAGGGGATTGTTTGTCTCAATTCTGGTTCCTTTGAAGTATGCTGAGTTAACCGGATTCTTCTCATCCTTCAGTTCATGACCTTCGACTCTTTCCCCTCCCTCCCCTCCCCTCTCCCGGTCGCTCCCCCGCTCCAAGTGAACCCACCTGCGCCATCATCATGGATTACGATCACCACGACCCCAGCTCAGAGGATCCCAGGCGACGACGACGACGGAACAGGACGCGTCGACGCTTGCGCAATAGGGTCCCTATCTCTGCCCGTCTTTCTCTGGATCATCAGCTGCGTGGGAATATCGGTGTTGTGTCTGATGACCTGGTCGGCGACCTCTTCAGCAGTAAGTCAAAACGAGCCTTCCCCCGCTCAACAGGTTTACCCTTTCGCAACCCGCAGTACTCTAATTATTGGTTTGTACTTCAGAGGACAATCAGGATGACATGGGAATCTATTATCTTGCGATTTCACCGTACTTTGCTGGTTGCACATCGGTCGAGGATCTCTCTTGGACCATCATTCCCGTGCGACCGCAGTCTAAAGATCGCTCTTATCAATCGCCAGTTCCGCACTCCACCGTCCTTTTCCCCGACTCCGCCCTGTCCTTACAACCATTCTTGGAAAAACTAGGCAAACTGGATCCCACCCGCCATCCTCTTCAGTCACAGCGTGCGATTGAGATACGGGTCTTGGATGCTGTGCCCTTGCCTCTGGATACAGTCTACGTGACAGTAGAGCGGAATCTTCTCCGGAATCATGATGATGTTCAAACCAAGTTTGGAGGAGGCTTCAGTTCCAACAATACCTCATCCAATGGCGGGTGGGCCAAGGGCGGGAAAGCCGCTGAAGTCAAGAAATACACGAAGAAGGCAGCAGCGGAGGATGAAGAAAGGCTTACAGCTGCTGTGCGCGAGGCATTGGGAGTTGTGAAGGTTCTGCACACTGGTGACGTCCTGCCGCTTCCCTTACCACCACACCCCATTACATATGCTCCATCACCTCCGGCTCGTATTGCGCTTTGCGAACCGGTCTCCCAGGGTCTACTGATGCCCGCGACTCAAGTGGTCCTGATTCATGCGCGACCTCACGGTCACCGGGCGCAAAGAAGCCTACGGTCAGGCACTGGCCTTCTCAAACAAGTAGCGGAGGATGAAGCCGATGATACCTCCAACGAACAGTTCTATTCTGCGGCCGAGGATAAACCTATCGAGAGCAGTACCGAGGTGGAAGGTAGCACTACTGCCGACGAGTCGGAAACTGATGCCTCGGGCGGTAACATGAGTGACACATCGGACGATTCTCTGGAAGATATGATTTCGCTAACCGCTCCGGAGCTGCCTCAGCCGTCGTCGGGTGTCATGTCTGCTATGACTGCTGCTACACCCCGTGCTGGAGGGCGTCGGCTGGACGGCACTCATACTCCTGGATCGGTCGCATCAAACTTCACTTCTGCAACCATGCGACCCGGTCGAGTTAGCGGTGGTAAGGTGTTCAAGACGGAAGGCCTCTTGCGTCAGGTCCCTGGAGACCTTTTGCATCCCCGACCACGGGAAGATGACGACCCGGAGTCTTTCATCTTCGTAGACGTTGGAACGCTAGCCAAGATAGGCTGTTTCTCGGGTGACTGGGTGAGGATTGAGGCAACTGAGGAGCCCCAGCACAATCCTTTCGCCTCAATCAAGCTTGGTAGCTTTAATGACCGCGAAGAGGACACTGGCGACTGGCGGGCGGTCAAGATATATGGATTGCCGGGCCTACAGGCTACAAAACCTCGATACTCGATCAACCAAACGGGAAACAGGCGCTCAAGTGTCTCTCAACTTCCCACTGTGCGCATGACCTCCGTCTTCGTTTCACCACTGCTTTTGAACAATCTTGGCAAACCCAGATACCTACGCATCTCCCCGATGACTTTCGCTACATCGAGTGGCGCGAAGCCTAACCTACTCCACCAGGTCAAGTCCAGCGTTGCTCGGAATCCGCCTCTGGCCAAAGAGGTTACGCTGCTCAAAGTCTCGACTCCCTTGTCGATGGACCGTGTCCTTCAACCCGCCCTGTTTGCTGGCCTCAAACAATACTTTGAATCTCGTCGACGACTTTTAAAGGGCGGAGACCTTGTGGGTATTAGCATCGATGAAGGCCTCGGTAGAGCCGTTTTCCAAGGCGCAGCTACCGGCGACGGTAGCGCTCAAGAAGACGATCTGACCACGAGACTAGGACAGATGTCTTATTCTGATCATGCCGGGTCCAAGAAGGTCGGAGTCGCATGGTTCCGTGTTGGCCAGGTTGTCCCAAGTATTCCGGACGATCAGGATGAAGCCGGCGACAACCAATGGGG